TATCCTAATATTTAGCAAGAACTTGGAGGAGCATGTTCTTCATTTGCAGGTTACCTTACACTGCCTTCGTGAAAATAGCTTCCTAGTGAAGTTGAGTAAGTGTGCCTTTGCACTGTCAGAGTTTGATTACTTGGGCCACTTAGTAAATGCACAAGGTGTCAAAGCTGATCCAAGAAAGGTGGAAGCAATGGTTCAATGGTCTCAACCGAGAAATGTGAAGCAATTAAGAGGATTTTTGGGTCTAACTGGGTATTATAGAAGATTTGTACGTCAATATGCGACTATTGCATCCCCTCTCACGGATTTATTGAAACAAAATGCTTTTAACTTGTGTGAAGAGGCTCAACAAGCATTTGCAGCCTTGAAAGAGGCCATGTCCATAACCCCAGTACTTATTTTACCTGATGTTGCAATTCCCTTCGTGGTCGAGACAGATGCTTCATCTACAGGAGTGGGTGCAGTTTTGTTACAGCATGGTAGACCTATTTCCTTCTTTAGTAAGAAGATTGGTCCACGTATGCGTGCTGTATCCACATATGTGCGTGAATTGTATGCTGTCACAGAGGAAGTGAAACGTTGGAGGCATTATTTGTTGGGCTCTCAATTCATCATCAGAACTGATCATCGTAGTTTAAAGGAACTGCTTTCACAAACGGTCCAAACAATGGAGCAACAAAGATATGCTTGTAAGCTCATGGGGTATGATTTTAAGATTGAATACAAACCTGGAGTATCGAATATTGTTGCTGACTCCTTATATCGTAGTTATGAGGATCAAACAGATGCTGCTGTGTTGGTTTTATTTTCAGAACCTTCCTTTCAGATTCTGGATAAGGTGCGAAAGGAGAATATGACAGACCCTTACTTGATTTTGCTGCATCAATAGATGTTGGACAATGAATGTACTGATCCACACATATCCACTAAGGAGGGGATTCTCTTCTATAAGAACCGTTTCCTGTTGAGTTCCACTTCTGCTCTAAGGGAAACGTTGATGAATGAGGCCCATTCCTCACAATTGGGAGGACACGCAGGTATTACACGCACAATCCTACGAATCTCTGCTTCATTTTATTGGCCAAAGATGCGTAAGGATATCACTTTATTTGTGCAAATTTGTCCTACGTGCCAGATGATTAAAACTCCCACTACTGCACCATTGGGTCTCCTTCAACCATTGCTCATTCCCTAAGGAGTGTTTGAGGATCTAACTCTAGATTTCATCAACGGGCTACCTGTATCTCGTGGCTTCTCTACTATTCTGGTGGTGGTAGATCGCCTCACGAAATACGCTCATTTTGGAGCATTGCCACCTCATTACACAGTTTCCTTAGTGGCTAAACTGTTCTGTGATATGGTTGTGAAGTTAAATGGAATCCCTCGTATCCTAGTCTCGGATAGGGATAGTATTTTTCTCAGCAAATTCTGGACCAATCTCTTTCAACTCAGTGGGACAGTATTGAAGACTAGCACCGCTTACCATCCTCAAACGGATGGCCAATCAGAGGTAATGAATCACTATCTTGAGCAATACCTTAGAGCTTTTTGTCATGATGAAAACCAAAACTGGTTCATGTATCTGGGATGGGCTGAGTTGCATTATAACACAACCTTCCACTCTTCCATTAAAATGTCACCCTTTCAAGCTTTGTATGGTAAACCTCCTTCGATGATTCCTCACTACCCGAGAGGTCTTGTTAAAATAGAAGCCATTGACACTCTATTATGTCATAGAGATGAGCTACTGCAGCAGCTAAAGAAGCACTTAATGGCAGCTCAAAATCGTATGAAAATACAAGCTGATCGTCACAGGAAGGATATCAGCTTAACAGTTGGGGATTTGGTGTTGGTTAAGTTGAAGCCTTATAGGCAGATTACGGTAGCTAAGCGTAGCAATCAAAAATTGGCCAAGAGATATTTTGACCTATTTTCGGTCAAACGTGTGCTCAGCTCAGTAGCTTACCAATTGGAACTACCTGAGGGGTGCAAAATTCATCCTTCATTCCATATTTCAGTTTTAAAACCATTCAAAGGTGACTCTCAAACACCGGCGCTCTCTATGCCAATTTTATCACATGATAATTCTCCTGTTCAACACCCTTTATCAGTATTAATGTCCAGAGAAATTACTAGGAAGGGGAACACTATTAAACAATGACTTGTTCAATGGTCTAATTCTTTGCCGGAAGATGCATCATGAGAGGATGACGAAGAATCGAAGAGCTGTTATTCTCATCTGAACCTTGTGGACAAGGTTCCTCTTGTAGGGTCGAGGCGAGTGTTACGTTGCAGAAATCATCAAGGAACAGAGGAGCACCTAGCTGTGCTAGAGATTACTCTGTGAATATATAGTAGTAGATAGGGTGCTGTAAAATAGATGCTTGTATGAAAAGACAGTTGTATAGTAGTTGTGTAAATGCTGTTGTATAGGATTAAAGGAGTGGAAGTTGGTTGGTTATTTTGTTAGAATAACCCGAAAATGTGTGAATATAATTGAACTCAATGTATCGATCCAAAGCATGCAGAGAAATAAGAATTTGATTGTTCCTTTTCATATCTTTTCTCTCGATAAGAAGTGTGGTTCTTATCAGTTTCCCTTAGGATTTTGCAATTTTCTGTTTTTATAATTGGTGAGTATAAATTTTAGATAAATAAATTTTTTGTGTTTATAATTAGTGATAGTAAATTTTAAATAAATAGAATAATATAGTATTCTATTATGTTCTCATTCATCCTCGTGCAACAAAATTAACATATTGTCAGGCCACCACTTTGTGGTCTGTAAGACAATCTATTGGTAATAACTTTGTCAAACCGTAAAAGTGCCATGCTGACGATGCTAGGATTAGGTATACAGTAGATGCTAGATATTTTTGGCAAAATTATTATTCAAATGCAACGATCCTGAATTATTCCCCCGAAAATGCTATGTCACCCACCACGATGCTTAGCAGGTCTTAGTCTTATCTTCATGATTAATATTTTTATCCATATCTTAAATTTTTTTCCTTTTTAATATAGAAGTAGGTACTCTGTTTTATTGAAAATGAGCTCATCTCAAAAGACTCGCTGATCGGCCCAATGAATTCATGACTTGCTGTGTCGGGTTTCCCCATCCAGTGCCACATGGCACAATTATTGCCTTCGTTTTTCATCCCTATACATCAATCTTATTTCCTTTGTAAAAAGAGAATTTTTTTTTATTCTTAATAAAAATACGATATTCACTTTAATTTTTTACAAAAAAAAAAAAAAAAATAGTCTCAAAGTTTTTAACAAATTCAAAGTGGACCCATTTAGTTGAAATCATAGTTCTTTACAAATTAAAAAAAAATTCATATTAGTCTATCAAAAGGACTAAAGTGGATCTACTTTGAATTTCATATGGAACAATTAACTAATTTTTTTTATAAAAAACTAAAGTGAAAATCATATTTTTGTTAAAGATCCAAAAAGATATTTACTCTTGTAAAAATTCTTCTTCATCCCTTATTTCTATAATACTCTCTTTTCTCTACAAATATTTTCTCTAGGATTTTCCATCAATCTTTGTAGGCCTCGTTTGCCACTGTGAAACGAAATTTTGCAGATGGACACTTTAATATGTTCTAAATAAAAAATTAAAAATAAAACCATAAAATTAGAGAATGGAGAGAGTGAGGATGAGAAAGAGAAGTGAATCCTTTCATGTATTTTTAACAAGGGTTTGTTTTTCTTGTGTTGCATGAGAAAACAAATTCTTTCTACACATACTATAAAAAGATGTGTTACTCATTATTTTGTTTTTTATTTTTTTAAAATAGATAGACTCCACATTTGATGTATCTATAACATGATATTAGAATTTTTCTACAATATAAGATTTATTTTTCTCTTTTTAATATAGTTATATCATATAAAAAGATCTTTATTATATAAGGATTAATCAATAATAATAACAGAAGATAGAGAAAAAATATTGGGATATGAAATTATAATATCATCACCTTTAATTTATTTATTGATGGTTAAATTTTTTTCACATAATATAATCAAGTTAAATAAATCAACTTTCGAGAGAGAGTGAAGCCATGCCATGCCCCGTAGGTATCAAAAGTAAAGCTGCTCAAATTATGTGATTTGTTTACATTTTTAAAAATGCAAATAATTCAATTTTCTATACCAAATCAAATTGACAAACTGATCCAGTTATTTAAACCAAACCGGTTTAGAAAAAAAATATTTGATTTTATATTAAATTGATTAAAAAATAATTTAATTCTTAAATAAGTTCAGAAAACAATTATTTATGGTGAAATTTGGTTTGATGTATAATTCAGTTTATATGATTCCTTTCCCACACTTAATAATACATGATGCCTTATTTAGAGAGTGACATGTCCTTTAAAAAAGGCACCAGATGTGGTATATAATCTGCAAATGGATGGACAAAAGCAAAAGACACAAAGTGCATGTGGGGACCACCTGGGTTCCACTGCATGACCAGGATTTGCCACATTCAATGGTACACAGCCCTGTTAAAAATTCCACTCCCTTCAACCCCCAAAAGTCTTTTTTTTTTTTTTTTTTTGAAATATTATGTTGCTCCGTCACTTTGTGATTAGTCCAAAGACAGGTTTAAGATTAAAATTTTAAATCTTTTTAAAAAATTATAATAAAAAGGATTAAACATATACTTTCACTCTTCCTGTTCAGCTCTAAATCTGCCATCATTTCAATGCTTTGAAATTTATTTATTTATTTTTTAATTTCTCTATAATTGGCCTTTCTTTAAAGTAAGCCACTTTTTGAGTAAATTCCTCACCTATCGTTGAATTACATGTGCCACTCGAAATTGCCGCCCAATTTGACTTTCTAGTATGATTTTTTTCTCTCACGGGCTACAATGCCTCTTGTCTTTTTTCTCTAATTCAAATATCTCTGCTCCCCTTTACGCTTCCACAACAAACTATAAAGAAACTACACACATAGCTAAAGCAAACACTACAAAACACATAAACTATTTCTTTCTCTTCTTTTCCCAGTACTGGTCCATTTCTGAATAGCAACATGCACATAGAAACCCCAGAAGCTAATTTTGGAGATGGTGGCAAAAACTTCGACGATGATGGACGAATCAAAAGAACAGGTATATATATACTATACACTTCTGTTATTGGTCTGTTCTTTAAAGAGTTACTTTGTCATTGTGGATTATGGTTGTAATATGATATATAATATGGTTTTTTTTTTTTTTTTTGGTATGAATATGAAGGGACATGGGTGACTGCTAGTGCACATATCATAACGGCTGTGATAGGTTCTGGTGTTCTATCTCTTGCATGGGCAATTGCGCAGATGGGTTGGGTAGCTGGTCCTGCAGTACTCTTTGCCTTCTCGTTTATCACCTACTTCACCTCCACTCTTCTTGCTGACTCTTACCGTTCACCTGACCCTGTCCATGGCAAGCGAAACTACACCTATTCTGAGGCTGTCAGAGCTATCTTAGGTATGGAGATGAAGAGTAAAAAAACATTTTTTGATAATCATTTGCGGGATTTCATTTAATTTAGTTTTATTAATTAAGAATGGACTAAATAAGAAATGAGATAAAATATTATGCTGTTTTTTTATATTTATTCTACTGACTGATATTCAATTTCGTTAGGTCAGAATCTATAGAAAAAAAAAATCCGAAGAAAAAAAAAAAGAAAAAAATGAAAGTCAGCTGATATTTTGATATAACAGTATTGAAAAAAAAAATAGATAGAATAGACATAATATATATATATATATATATATATATATATATATATATAATATTTTATTCCATACAAAATATATAACTGAAATAACTTGTAAACTTATTGTATTAAAATTTTGAGTTAATAGGTGACATGTATAAACATTTTAAGTTAAGAGGTTAGTGGAATTCCATTTATTATTTATTTGGTTCCTTAATAGCTCATTGTTTGTTTGGATTCCACCTTGCCAACGAGAGGTTCGTGTACATCTATATTAGTTTATTTGGTTCCCCTGTCTCTCCTAACGTGTACAACTATATAGTTTTACGGTTTTTTTTTTTTTTTTTTGGTAAGTTAGTTTTACGGTTTTTGTTAATTTATATCTATCGCTATTCAATCTTTGAGTTGATAAAGTTAAGGGTGGTGAGACATGACACTTGAGAATTCAATTTTTTTTGGATAACCGATCTTGATTACTTCTTTGAGGTGAATTAGAATCTTCTGGTGTTCCACGAGTTCGATTCTTTGAACTGATATGAGAATTCACGTTTTAAAATACTCTTTTTTATTGTCAAAGCCAATAAACTATCATAGTTTCTTGTGTTCTTGGAGAGATACGTCACATTACTGGGAATATGCCATTTTCCAATGACAGGGTTTTGTGCCGAAAGGTTTACTTTAATTTACATTGTTAAGAACCTTGTTTTACATGGATTTTACATTTAGAACTATTATTATTTTATTAAATATATATATAGAAACCTTCAACTGACCAAATTAAATGAAAGTTTGATGCACCTTTAATTTGTTACCTTATGTATATATGTCCATAGGAGGCAGGAGATATCAGCTGTGTGGATTGGCTCAGTATATAAATCTTGTAGGTGTAACCATCGGCTACACAATAACTGCATCAATTAGTATGGTGTAAGTTTCCACATCAACTTAATTTTGACTTATACATATTATATATATATCAATATATAAAAGAGAGATAGAGAAAGAAACGTAATATATTCCCTTTTTTTTTTTTTAAATATATGATGATGACTGATTAGGGCGGTGAGAAGGTCGAACTGTTTTCACAAACATGGGCATCAAGACAAGTGCAATATATCAAACAACCCTTCCATGATCATTTTTGCTTGCATCGAAATTGTTCTTAGCCAGATACAAAACTTCCATAAGCTCTCTTGGCTCTCTATCGTTGCAGCCATTATGTCTTTTGCTTATTCTTCCATTGGCCTAGGCCTATCCGTTGCAAAAGTCGCAGGTAAGCATGTCATTATAAATCAATTAATTAATTTATTTTTATACAACTTAAGATCTTAAATTAAGAATAATAAGTTAAGGTCCTTGTTTTCACTTCCACATTTATTATATAAGTGTGTGACAATAATATATGAGAAATGCAAACAATTTTTTTTATCCTTGCTTGAAGGTGGGGGACATGGACGAACATCCGTAACTGGGGTGCAAATTGGAGTGGACGTTACAGGTTCAGAAAAGGTCTGGAGGACGTTTCAAGCTGTTGGTGACATTGCCTTCGCTTATGCTTATTCTAATGTGCTCATTGAGATCCAGGCAAGCTATATTTATATATGTATTATTTGCTAATGTATATATTCTGTACGGTTAAATAATACTTGAATAATGTATAGATCATTTTAAAAAATTACAATAAAACCGAAGTTTTATTTAATAACTTGCATAATAATATATAAAAAGTTTATGAATATAGATTTGTGTAACTATCATAATAATGTTCTTGTAGTTCTAAGTGTGGTGTGGATAGTTGAAAACAGATGACTCATTATTGAAGCTAAATTTCAATAATAACAATAATAGTAATGTAGTTCATTATGATAGAGACGGCAAAAATTGGGGTAAGAAAGGATTATATAAAGAAAGGTTGACCATTCACGTATTTTGAATTTTGATGCATGCTTAAAGTTGAAACGTGTGCCTGACTTAAAGTCTTCAACACATAATTGACCCCAACTACTATTTTTGACCACTGTTTCTTTTTTTTTCCTTTTTCTTTTTTCTTCTTCTGTAGTTGACTTACGTGTGATCCATATATATTATAATTATCTCAATATTAGTATAGATATAGTCTCCTTCAGGATTGCATGCATTAATTCATGAGAACCATGGCAGAGCTGTCATGACAAGGACTGCAGAGGACGTATACCGTATCCCAAATAAGAAGATTGGCAATAGAAACAAGATAAAAAAAAAGTTTCTATATTCTTTAGTCTATCTTGGAAAAGATGCTAAGGCAAATTCCATCTCCATCATAGAGATGCGTATTACTATTTATTTATTTTTAAGCCCCTATACGGCTATACCTATCTGTAGCTTGTGGATCATTAAGATTCCTTCTTTGTATGAACCATTAAATCCGCAGACAGCTATCTCAAATGGCACTTTTTTTCTGAAAAATAATTAAATATTACTTTAGAACAGTATAACCATACTTTATCTAGTTTTATGTTCTGATAAATGGCTTTATTCTTTCAAGCTAATCAATATAAACGGCACCACCATGAAAATTATACTTCATTAAGACTTTATGGCACAAATATATATTATATAAAAGATAAGTGTATCTATTAGGACTCAAAACGATATGATTTGGAGTTAGGAAAAGACTTTATCATGATAAAAATTAATATAACTTTAAAATAAATTAAAAATTTAAAAAAAATTCCCTAACCCAAAACAACATGGTGTTAGGTTACTAGGGATAATTTCTCTCATGTGACATTAAAATCACATATATAAATATGATTTAACAACTTTTTTTTTTTTTTTTCAAGAAATCTTTGTCAACCTTCTAAAATTACATTTTTCATTAATATCAATGGCATGTAAAGATTCCATGCCCACCATACTGTTGCAGGATACCCTGAAATCAAGCCCTCCGGAGAACAGAGCAATGAAGAGGGCAAGTTTGATTGGCATTACGACTACAACATTATTTTATGTGCTATGTGGGTGCTTAGGTTATGCAGCATTTGGAAATGATGCACCAGGAAATTTCCTCACAGGGTTCGGTTTCTACGAGCCCTTTTGGCTAATAGACTTTGCCAATGTCTGCATAGCAGTGCACTTAGTTGGGGCCTATCAGGTAATTGAGTAAATAACTTGAATTTATTAAAGCATATTATCTAGCTTCATATTCTATGGTATATGTATATATTTAATTTGTTCATGCATGTTTTTTTTTATTTTCTATGGCCAGGTCTTCGTGCAACCAATATTTGGGTTCGTTGAGAAATGGAGCAAAGAAAGATGGTCAGATAGTCAATTTATAAACGGTGAGCACGCTTTGAAGGTTCCTCTATGTGGAAGCTATAACGTGAACTTTTTCAGGGTAGTGTGGAGGACTGCATATGTGATTTTCACTGCTGTTATAGCTATGCTATTTCCATTCTTCAATGACTTTTTGGGGTTGATTGGTTCACTCTCATTTTGGCCATTGACGGTTTACTTCCCCATAGAGATGTATGTTAAGCGATCCAACATGCAAAGATATTCCCTCACGTGGATTGGGCTCAAGATATTGAGTTGGGCCTGCTTGGTCATTTCTATTATCTCAGCTGTGGGCTCCATCCAGGGACTTGCTCAGGCTCTCAAGAAATATCAACCCTTCAAAGCACAACAATAGTTTCTAGTGTTACCTTGTTTTCTTTTCTTGTAACCTTTTTTTTTTTTTTTCTCTCTCTCTCTTATCTTGATAAGTTATCGGCAAGTCCATGGATAATGTACTGTTATCAAATTCTTGGGGATAGAAAGAACACCAACACCCAGCAGGAGTAGATATGCAATGAATAATGCCCAAGATGGTTAAAAAGTAGATGCCCTATGTGACATGCAGAACAATAAATACCCTTTTGATTTAATAGAGCCTGCATTTAAGCTTGTATCTGCATCAAATTGTATTTCAATGGCAGAATGAAGATTCAGGATTTGCTATGACTACCAGCGAGGTTGAACATTCTTACTACTAAATGTTCTACTACCACTCTAATATAACCTCTAAAGCACGGACTCGTGCATTTTTAAAAAAATGTGCGTGTCGGACACGTATCCGACATGCTCTGACACGCGTTCAACACGTGGTCAATATTTTGGGACACGTGATTAACTCTCCGACACGCTCCGAAATATTTTTCCGATAAGCAGTTAATTTTTTCCGACACGTGGTCAACGCTTGGACACATTTTTTTTTTTTAGTCTTAATTTTATTTTATTAACTAAAAATAAAAAAAAATCATTTATAAATCAATTTTTTTCTGTTATGAAATTTGACTTGAAAAATTAACAAGGTAAGAAAAATTATTTTTGTTTATATTTATGTTATGAAATTTGAATATTTGATTGGTTATATGACTTATTATAGGCTATTATATGTGTTAAATATATATTATATTACATATATTAAAAATATTATTTAATATCAAAACGTGTCTTAGCGTGTCGAAATATGACATTTTTTAGAATTAAGGTGTCGGCGTGTCGTGTCGTGTCCCGTGTCCTCCGTGTTAGTGTCTGTGCATCATAAAATATAACTATATATTCCGGGAAGTACGTTCAAAGCTTTTTTTTTTCTTCCTTTTTTAAAAATCTTTTAGAAATTGTCGGCTGAAAAATGGGATCCCACGGTGATTAGAGTGATAGTAAATTGACAATAGAAACATTTGACAGTAAAAATATCCTACCTTCTAAATAAATGTGCTGCATTAATATCAGGAACCATGAAAATAGTTCTTGGCCGGCTCACATCTGGCAAGAAACACACGCATGATTCACCTCAGCAGGGAATGACCTTTTGATTGTATCATGAGTTACCAATACAGTAAGTAACAAAAGCTATCTTCTATTTAACCAAAAACTGCCCCCTCATTAACTGGTCCAGAAATCCTGTAAAGGTACAAGTAGAATAAGGTTGTAGAAACAAAAACTGATGTTGTTGTCTCCATTCGAGATCCATTTGTCATTTGGAAGTTGAAGATAATCTACACTTAACAAATTACAATTGCAAGACCAATACAAGTAGAACTTAGTATTTAAAAGTTGCTACTCTTAGAAGAAAATAGAGACATTAAAGAGGAAAATAGAAGAAATCTTAAATGAGCAGAAATAAATCAGACAGCAGTTCGAATCTGAAAAGATAAAAGAGGAAGAAGATGTATCAAGTCCAGTTTCTACAGATTCTTTGGATACAATTGGACAGGATAATACAAACGACAAAGTGTATATAGAACTAGACGCCCTGTCCAGTATACGTTGATTGAAGAATCTTATCTTCAGATAACTTTGACTGAAAAATAGTAAAGAGATGTGTCAGGAGAATCCTATCTTCAGAAAAAAATAATAGAGATTTTATCTTTAATAGTATGTGTCGTCAGGTTTTTCTTTCTTTCCCTAGCTAGTTTCTCTACATATTATGTTATGAGTAAGGTAGTCTTGCCTCGTCTCATATAAATCATTATTCACAAACCCTAGCAGAGCCAATAAGTGACCATTAGCATGGGAAATTTTTTTGGTGCTCCGGGCCCCATATGGTCTTTCCATTCAAGAAATGACACTTGGACAAAAAGTTATTTTTTATTTCCTCTCTCCCCTCTCTCCTCAGTAGTTGTATGATTTTGATTGGTCCAGACCACTGAGTAAATGGTGGTCCGGAACCACTAAAATTCTTCTCATTAGCATGTGAGAAGGAATTAAATTTGAGTTAGGTCCATGGTAAATGTAGTTAGACTAAGTGAAAAGTAACACAATCTTGTGGATATGATGTAGAGCCTTGCAAAAAAATAAAAATGGAATCGGCCAACTCCAACCCAAGCGACGCTATTAAACTCTTACAGGTGAAGAAACTGAAACGTATTTTATTCAACATAACAGAAAGTGTGAAAAGGCTATTAAGTTATGCTACATGCGCTCTATTTATAGTGTTGTTCTTAACCAAAGAGAAAAGGCCAAGTGGCATTAACTAACTAAAGGAGTAACAAACTAACTGATTGTGTTAATACACAACACCAGAAAACAGCAAAAAGAGAAAACTGATAAAACTATATCTCAACACCCCCCTCTAGTTGGGAGGTGGATGTCTCTAAATCCCAACTTGTCCATAAACGTTCGAAAATGAGCTGGGTGAAGTCCCTTAGTAAACATATCTGCAATCTGTTGTGAAGTGGAAATGGGCATCAAACGAATCAAACCATTTAGAATCTTTTCTCTTGTAACGTGACAATCAAGCTCAATATGTTTGCTACGTTCGTGAAAAGATGGATTATGAGCTAGATGAACGGCTGCTTGGTTATCGCAGTAAACCATTGCAGGGCCTGGAGTAGCAACGTGTAAATCATGGAGCAAGTAAGTGAGCCATTGAAGCTCACAAGTGAGGGTGGCCAAAGCACGGTATTCAGCTTCGGCTGATGAGCGACTGACTGTAGTTTGCTTTTTGGATTTCCAGGAGACTAAGGCTGATCCAAGGAAAGTGCAGAAACCAGTTGTAGAACGTCGAGTGTCCGGGCAAGTAGCCCAATCAGCGTCTGCAAACCCTGTGAGTGTGAGGTGATTCTGAGAAGGGAAAAACAGGCCTTTAGCAGGGGATCCCTTTAGATATCGAAGGACTCTGCAAGCTGCATTATAGTGAGCCTTCATTGGACGTGCCATAAATTGGCTAAGTTGCTGGACAGCAAAGGAAATATCGGGTCTAGTGTTAGCGAGATAGAGCAAGCGTTCTATAAGTCTGCGATATACTGCTGGATCATCATAAATTTCTCCTTGATCCTGACACAAACGCAAAGTGGGCTCTATAGGTGTGGAAGCAGGGCGTGCACCAAGTAGACCACTGTCTGAGAGCAACTCCAGGACATACTTACGTTGATTGACCACTATGCCATGTTGTGAACGGGCAATTTCAAGTCCAAGGAAGAACTTTAAATGACCAAGATCCTTGATACGGAACAAATAATCTAGACGATTTTTGACTGATTGTATTTCATCAAGGTTATTCCCAGTTAAAACCATGTCATCAACGTAGACTAATAATGCAGTAAAGGAACCATTGCTGACCTTAGTGAACAAGGAATGGTCAGCAGATGATTGGGAGTAACCAAGAGCTAAGAGTTCAGTGGTGAGGCGAGCATTCCACTGTCTACTGGCCTGTTTAAGGCCGTACAAAGATTTCTGGAGTTTGCAAACTTGATTCGGATGAGGAGCTGTAACTCCATCAGGAACCTTCATATACACTTCTTCAGAAAGGTCCCCATGAAGAAACGCATTATTAATGTCAAGCTGCTCCAAAAAGTAACCACGAGCTGCAGCAAGCGCTAGTAAGACTCTTATGGTTGTCAATTTTGCCACAGGAGAAAAAGTCTCAAAATAATCGACTCCTTCCATTTGGTTATAGCCCTTAGCCACCAACCGTGCCTTGTATCTAGCAATGGAACCATCTGGATTGTGTTTGATTTTGTACACCCATTTTGAGCCAATTGGGTGTTTTCCACGAGATAAATCCACAAACTTCCAAGTCTGGTTTTTGTTCAAAGCTGCTATCTCTTCATCCATGGCAATGATCCATTCATTTGATTGTGTGCTTGCTTATACGTTCGGGGCTCAACAAAGGAGCTAATGTTATGACAAAAAGAGGAATATGCAGGAGAACATTTATCATAAGAAATAACTGCTGAAAATGGATGAACGCATTGATTCTGAGTTGTGTGTGGTTCTGTAACAATGGAAGAATTGCATATAAAATCAGTGAGATGCTTGGGTTGAGTTCTTAACCTGCTTGAACGTCGTGGCTGGTGTAGAGGAGTGGAAGTATGTATCGGTGGATTTTCTGATGTGTGGCCAAGTGCTGTATCAGATTGAGGTGGGAGTGACACGTCAGTATATGTGTTGATAGGTGGAAGGTGTGATGTAGCAACATGTGGTACAACAGTAGGAGTTGGTAGTGACACGTCATTACTTGTGATGACAGGTGGAAAGTTTGATGCATCACCATGTGTTATAGCAGATTGAGGCATGTCATATGGAATGCTTGATTCAACCATAAAAGGGCAAGAAGGAACCTGTGTATCTGTATGCAGCTTGTGAAAAGGAAAATTATCCTCATAAAACACAGCATTTCGTGAGATAAAAATCTGTTTGGAAACTAAATCATACAAAATGTACCCCTTCATCCCATCTTTGTGTCCAAGAAGTACACACTTCCTAGCTCGTGGATCAAACTTCAAACGACCACTGGTTATTGTAGAGGCATATGTGAGACAACCGAAAGCTCTTAGATGACATAAGACTGCTGGCTTGCTATACAATAGCTCATAAGGAGACTTATTTTTCAACATAGGTGTGCAAAGTTGATTTATAATGTGAATAGCATGCATGATACAATATGACCACAAGTCGATAGGAATTTTACTCTGGAAGTGTAAGGCCCTTGCTGTGTTTAGTATGTGTTGATGCTTCCTCTCTACAACTCCATTCTGTTGAGGGGTTTCTACACAGGAAATTTGATGTAAGATACCCTTTTGTGCATAAAATTCATCCATATGAAATTCTTTTCCATTATCACTGCGAAATGATTTGATTGTTACACCAAACTGATTTTTGATGAGAATAACAAAATTTTGAATATGCTGTCTTGTTTTAGATTTAGATTTCATGAGTATTCCCCAAGTGAATCTCGAATAATCATCTACTATTGTCAGAAGAAATCGATGACCATGTATAGAAGACACAACATATGGTCCCCAAATATCAATATGCACTAAATCAAAAGCTGAATTTGAAATAGTTGAACTAATATTGAATGGTAATTTTCTCTGTTTTGCTAAATGACACACATCACAGGGATCATTCATATTTGGACAAGAAATAAAAGGGTACTTGTTCATCATATCTTTTATTACAGATTTGGAACAATGTCCTAAACGGCTATGCCATATGTCAGTGCTTGTAGACTGCACTGCTAGAGTCTTATTCTGATTGTCTGCTATCCATGAAGTTTCTTCTTTATCATCAACTGGTTTGGTGTATTGCTGAGTGAGCATGTATAGACCTCTCTCCAATTCAGCAGAACCAATCATCTGCCTGGAAGGAATTTGCTGTATGATACATCTCTGATGCTGAAAGATCACATTGCAATTAGACTCTCGTACTAGTCTATTGATTGATATCAAATTCACCTTAAAGTCCTTAACATATAACACATTTGTTAATGTTAAGAAATTTGAAAGGACTACAGTGCCAGAATGAAAGGAGAGCACCTGGTTGCCATTGGGTAAGGTGATACCAATAGGTTCAATATTTTGAACACAAGATAGACTTGCAAAGGAATAGGTAATATGGTCAGTTGCTCCAGTATCCAAAATCCATCTAATTTTGGAGTTACCTGAGGATGTGTCACTAGTCTCAGCACTGAGAGCTTTGGCTTGCACCATATTGCTACTATGAGTAGAATTCACTGTGGAGTGCTGCATAGATTGCTGAATTAAATTGAGGATAGTTTGATACTGATCCTTTGTGAAATTATCCTTTGAGATAATGGAATCTGCAACTTCAGATCCTGAGACTCGATCTTCATTAAACGCCTCAATTGCATTTGCCTTGGGCACTATGGTTCTCTGTCTGTAACCAGGTGGATACCCATGCTTTTCAAAACATGTTTCCACTGTGTGATTCATTCTTCCACAATAGGTGCACAGTTTATTTCCAAAAGATCTCCCTCGTCCACCAGATAGACCACGTCCTCTGCCTCGTGCTTGGATGGCCTGTGAGAATTGTGAACGTCCTCTGCCTTGTGTGTGGTCTGCAGAATTATAATATGTTTTCGGTGTCTCATGATTGGGTATGGTTCCCTCTAACTGAAGCTGTCTCTCCTGCTGTGTTACCAAGGAGAACACACGATTGACTGATGGTAAGGGATCCATCAACATGATTTGAGACCTCACGTGGCTGAATCTTTCATTGAGGCCTTTGAGAAAACAAATTGAATAGTCTCTTTCACGTATCCTCCTAACCTCTGAGGCAATTTTACAGCAAGGACGAATGCACTTACATATTGGAGTTGGTTGTAAGGCTTCGAGTTCATCCCAAAGGATCTTAAGTCTCGTATAGTAATCTGAAACGCCTTTGTCTCTTTGATGCAATTTATAAATCTCATCTTGCAGATCAGAGATTCTGAAGATGTCTGATTGTGAGAATCTCTCTCTGAGATCGTTCCATACATCAAATGCTCGATCCATCCACAAGATCGATTGCGAAATAGATTGTGTTATCGAACGGTGCAACCATGACAGAACCATGGTGTTACACCTCTCCCATGCAGCAAAGTGTGAATCAGACATGTCTGGAACTGTTATTGTTCCATTAACAAAAGAAATCTTGTTTTTAGATATCAACGCCATTTTCATGGCCCTGGCCCAACCGTGATAGTTTTTACCATCCATAAGCGTAGAAACCAAAACCAAAGATGGATTCTCATTAGGATGTAAATAATAAGGACTACCTGAATCTGAAGGATCTACAACTTTAGTTGATGCAGTATATTGATTCGGATCTGAATTTTCAACATTCCCTTGGTTCTCAATGGGACTCTGATTCGCCATTATGATATTGTTGTTAACTATGAAGAACACTGAAGTTCAAGAACAAAGATACAAAAAAAAAAGTAACAAATGGATGAAGATGAAGAGAAAACAAATGGCGATCAGAGCTCTTTGAGAAGCTCTGATACCATCTTACAGGTGAAGAAACTGAAATGTATTTTATTCAACATAACAGAAAGTGTGAAAAGGCTATTAAGTTATGCTACATGCGCTCTATTTATAGTGCTGTTCTTAACCAAAGAGAAAAGGCCAAGTGGCATTAACTAACTAAAGGAGTAACAAACTAACTGATTGTGTTAATACACAACACCAGAAAACAGCAAAAAGAGAAAACTGATAAAACTATATCTCAACAACTCTTATTTGTAGCTTTGATGATCGTTCATTCCCCCCCCCCAAATAGGGTGAGGGCACGACTTGCTAAAGAAAATGAGTAATGTACCGAAAAAGGACAATCAAAATAGGATATTTCTATGATGTGTGTACGAAAAAGAGAGAAATTGTTTTAATCCAAATGTCAATTTTTTAATGAAAGTCGTAGCTATATCGGGTGTATCGAAAATGCTATCTTAAAATACACACCAATGTGCATGTCTTGGGGATACCAAGAAATGTTGAAAATGTTTTACTGTGCCCGACTAAATATTAGGCTGTTATATAACATTTTAATGCAAACTTTATACGAGTTTAATTTTGATATGCTATTAGTGTAAAGTAATTTTACACTAATATCAAATTATGTGTTAGTATATTATTTAAAAAAATAAACTTTAAAATATTTATTAATAAAGTCAATCTTATTTAATGACCTGATAAATCATCATTTAATACTCATATAAAATAAATTTTACAGTAATATAACATAAAAAATAATTATGCAAAATGTATATATATACAATCACAATTACAGAGAGAAAAGAGCACCAAGTCCAATAAAACTAATTAAACAAAATAGCCAATAAATGTAAAAGCCCACCTATTGGGCCCTAACGATTGCTCGACCCAAAATTGGGCCCTCGTAACCTTGTCATTTTTTTTTTCTCAAAAAAAAAAAAAAGTGTCTAAAATTTTAGTAACCATTGCGAGGGATATGAAGAACTGGTGGTGGGAGTGACAGCATGGCCATATCCACATTGGTTCTCTTTACTTTTTTTATGGCATTCTAATTCTTTCAGTTTTTTCGAACTTCAACGATCATTTCATGGACACTCTTTGCCACACTGAACGCAGAATAACACAATGGGTTTCGGTTTTGGTTTTAGACTAAACCTCAGGCTCAGATATAGTGCCCCTGTTCACTCTCCTCATTCCTTCACCAATTCACCTATCTGGCTTTCTTCATCTTCTGGTCACTTCTTTTCTTCCTCTCTATACCAATTTCATATTATTATTATCATTATTTTTCACTTTACTCATAAATTATGATGTTACAGCCTAGACAACATTTTTTTTAATACTTTATAACCGTTTTGATAAACTTATAATTCAACCTTCAGCCTATGTGTCAATTCCTGAATTAAATGTTTTAATTTTTATTTATCTTCTTTATCAATGTCTATATGCTTATAATATACATTTTATTTCCTATTGTTTTGAATTTTGGGTGAAATGTGATGCAGGTGGAGGCAGGGAAACTTCTTTCAATTCAACGAGGTTAACCCTGGATAATGATTTATTAGAAAGAGAAGAAACGAAGGTTCAACATTATGGTTTTAATTATTATATTGATACCTAAAAACAAAAGGAAAAATAAAATAATAATAAATCTTACAAGTTGTTTATTTATTTCATAGGTAAACAAAGGAATGAGGTTGCTGAGTAGCGTAGATGAAATGATTGGTAATACCCAAATGTCTTTTGGGGAGGATTTATCTGCAATCTCTACAAAGTTTCAGTCTTTCAGGGCACAGCATTTTCGTTTGTTAATGGATAATCTAAGTGTTTTAGAAGAGACTTTTGCTGATTCTGAAGCACTGAGTTTGGAAAAGGATATTATATTGCAACTAGAAAAGCTTGGAGCTCTCAAGTTATTCAACGTTTGTCTTTCAAGATCTTTTGGAACTTCCTCACTTGTATTGGACTACACTGATGAGCATGTTGGAGAGAGTAAGAGAAACTGCAAAGTAGTTGATTACATGGATAAAGTAGTTGTTCCTTCTAGCAAGAAAAAGGAAAATAAAACAAGAAGAAAGAGAGCATTTATTGCCACAGAAGTTTCCTCTCAAACATTGCCTTTGAAAGCTAATCAAGAAGATCTATTACCTTTCCCAGCTTCATTTGTAAAAGGAGCATCAAATGCTAAAAATAGAAGAACGATGATTGCTAGAAGGGAGGTGGAAATGTCAAAAGCCGTAAAGGTTAGTTTATTGTTAACTGTTAAGAATATTAGAGTGATTTTTGTACCATGCTTGTGAATTAGGTGAACATTAAAATTTTGCAATGCTCTAGGTGGTAGCAGAGTTAGAGAAAATTAGAACAGCTATAGAAAATGATACAAAGCAAGTAGCAAGCTTGAGTAGCTGGGCAGAAGCATGTGGAGTTGATGAGAAGGTGCTGCAGCAGCAATTGCATCATGGTCGTTGTTGTCGCGATGAGCTCATTCGGAGTACTCGTTCTTTAGTCCTATACATTGCCAGGAAATACAGGGGTTCGGGAATAGCATTGGAAGATTTGCTTCAGGTTTGTTCCAAATGTCATTGTGCGTCGTTTTAATTGTCATTTGTCATTGTTATTGTTGAGGACGAGTTTCTATTTGGCCTTCTACCTATGTTGTCACTCATCATTCATGCAGAAGATACTGAGTTTCGTGATTGACAGTTGGTATTTTATAGAACTAACAATGAACAACTTGTGAAAATTAAAATCACTGCAAATCATTCGTGATATGTGTGTGTATGAGAGGGAGGGAGGGACATTTGGATGATGGTATCAATTTATTGAAAGAAAGGTCATGCAGATATGCATAGGGTAAATTATACTTTTCCCTCTGAAGTTTTCATTTAAATCAATTTTAGTGCACCCACAATTTATGCCCTCAAATTTTAGAAACAAACACTACACCTGGTCTTTTTTTTTCCCTTTCATAATAAAGCACTCGGATCTTATCAAAGACGCATTGAAGTTTTTATTCTCAACTAGTAAAAATATGCCCATGGGAATGAGTGTGTTCTGTGGGTAAACAGTAACTAGAAAATGATTAATGGGAAAAAAAGCACTAAGAAAGACTTATTTTTCAGTGGAGGAAATGATCATGGGCATGGAAAATAATCTCTCAATCATTAGTTTTAACTAAATTAATAACAGTTTTAGGATTGTAAACTCAATTCACTGAGGGTGATTTGAAAGATAATTTCCAAGGGGAAGTATAATTTGGCAATATATGTGCCTGTATCTTTTGTGTCAGTGAAAGAGATAAACATGAAATGCTAAGCCATAGGCGAGATCTTAAATTAGCATTTATGCCAAATCTCCGCGGACATAGGATTTAGAGCCAAAACATCATAGGATTTATAAGCCTTCTCTACCAAAAAGGTATTGCCTGACATGATGATTTTGGGGATTGTGTTGGCTGCAAGTGTCTATGGCTTTGGGTCAATATGTTACTTATGCTTTACTTTGTTGCTTTACGCCTTCTTATTAGACACAGCGTTTTTTAAACACATGATAACATGAAAGGACAATTGAAAGAAGTTGTAAGGTACTAACGCCATTGATGCTTTGATCGATGTTTTTAAGAAATTGACTGAAAGCAGAAATGTAGAATGAAAATGTAACTATGCATACACGAATTCTCTTTCAGTTAGCTTCTCAGTAACCTATGTGTTTTTCTTTAAATTTAATAGGCAGGAAATGTAGGTGTTCTCCAAGGAGCAGAGAGATTTGACAGTACAAGGGGCTACAGATTCTCAACCTATGTGCAGTACTGGATAAGGAAATCAATGTCGAGAATGGTGGAACGATATGCTCGAGGAATAATAATTCCTGTATGTTCCTCTTTTGCTTAGGACTTTTTCTTAGTACCAGTCTCATCCAATACAGACCTTGAATTTGATCCTCATGTTTTTTTCCTCTTCATTATTCTTTTTAGTGGTCATTGAGCAGGGCATTAAGTCAGATCCTGAAAGCACGAAAAGCAATGAAAAGTACATCCATGAAATGCCCAGATGATTATGAAATCGCAAAGATGACAGGTCTTTCACTGAATAAAATCAGAGCAGCTAGCAATTGTCGGAGAATAGTTGCCTCAATTGATCAGAAAACTGGGGACTACTTTAGTGTAGAATACATGGTAAGACTAAGATTCTTCCAATCGTTGACTCTCTTGCTACTCATCATTTCTTATTTCATGTGTTGTGATCTTACTAGTAATTTTTCTTTTTCTTTTTTTACATTATCATCTTTGTCATTGAAGAATGAAACCAAAGGAGAAAATCCCAATACATTTCTGGGAGTATGAGAAAGGCATGTGCCTTTAAGAAAAAGAAAAGAAAAAGGAAGATAAATTACTTGCTGAGTTCAGTTCATCAATAGGTTCCTAAACTGAGATCCTCAATCAAATAATCAAAAGCATGCCCTCTTGTAAGCATCCTATGTTCGTGAGGACTGCAATTTCTTTCTTGTTAAGTTTTTCTTCCTCACAGGATTTTGTTGGTGTTACGACTGAGATTGTAAAAGGGCCTTGGATAGGACCAGGGTAATTAGAAGCAATTAGTTAGTTAGTAGCTTAATAGGGAAGCCTAATGACTTGTATATAAGGGGAATACCCCTATATTAGGAGCAGCTTTTGACAAATATTAGATTAGGCTGAGAGTGCCCAGTTAAAGGGGATTGCCCCTTGGCAAGAGAAGTGTCTCTTGTGTGTTCATTTGTCTTTCTCATCAATAAACAGATCCTTTTCTTCCATTCCCCAATTTTTTTTCATTCTTCCTTTTTATTTTGCAGGTTTCAAGCCCTAAAGAATCCAGAGCTGTAATAGTTTTCCATGCATGTTTCTTTTTTCTTTTGTTTTTTTTTCATATCCATTGACAGTCTCATAAAACATACAACCTTCTTATTTGGGTAGCAGGGCAGCAAATTATTATCAAGTTTTCATGTTGCAGTTTTTATGCAATCGGTTATATGATGTGGCGACTTTAAAAGCCTATATAGAAATACTAGTCTCATGAACAATTATCCTGTAAATATTATTATCAGGTATATATAAGCTGTTTTGTGGCATTAATTGATGCTGCAGGAACTAATGCCGGATTCGTTAATAGAGAGTCCTGAAGAAGCTGTCATGAAGCAGCACATGAGAAAAGACATATATGATCTCCTGAAAGGCTTGGACTCGAGGGAGAGGCAAATACTAACCCTACGCTTTGGTCTTAATGATCACCAGTCCAGGTCTCTTGAAGATATAGGGAGGCATTTCAAAGTTACCAAAGAGTGGATAAGGAAGATAGAGAAAAAAGCTCTAACAAAGTTACGGAACGAAGCAACCATCTCAAAATTAAAATATTATTTGGACCTGTAGTATATTGTTGGTTTTTTGCTAAGCTTCAATATCATCTTCATTTCATTTGTATATGATGGATGTGTACAAACTCTTGGTCCAGAGTTGGTTGTATGCATTATGTATCAAATAAAGTTTTTTATTGGTTATCATCCTGGTGACTTGTCGCTTGTGTGTTCCTAGCTGAAAAAGCATTATCAGGTATTGCCAGTGCAGCATTTGACCACACAAAGATGTTTTGACTACGTAGAAGAGAGCCTCAAACTCTAGTGTTAAAATGGAGTGTTGATACCAAATGATGGTAGTTCAGTTGGCGTCAGGAAACTGAGTAGGTGGAGGTATAAGCATTGTTGGAATAATAATTCCTCTTAACCTTATGGTGATAACCATCACCAACAAATCAAGAACCATTATGCCAAATTATAAAGGAATATTAACATAAAGGTGGAGGCATACATGTCTCCATAGCAACAGAATAACTTCGATCTTCTCCTTTGGGGTATACGATCTTCCTTAGTCGAATAGCCTTAATTCTTATTCCTTAGTATGATCTTCTCTTTATGGGGTATGCGATCTTCCTCAATCAAATAGCTCTAATCCTTATTCTTTAGTGCTGTTTCTCTCTTGATGGGAAAAAGAAACTAGGGTTGTTATTTGACATATTGAGGACCATAACCTTTTATAGTGTTTTTCTTTATTGTTGGGCCAGTAAGCTCCCATTATACCTAGTTGGTCCAACACTAGTATCAACACATTTGTCCTACACTTACTTAGGAATCTATTTGGGCATCTTTATTTGATCACTTTAATTTACCCAATATATATTAAATAGCATGGCGAACCAGAGCAGTGGTAAAGCTGTTCTTTCATGACTGAAAGGTCATGGGTTCGAATCCAGGAAACATCATCTTTGCAATTATGCAAGGGTAAGGCTGCGTACAAGGATTACCTCCATCCCACACTCGCTAGTCGGGTTTAACGAAGAGCGATTTTTTATATTAAATAGCATAATATAATTATTTATACAATATGTAGCCCACAAACACATTAGTGTATATAATTTCCTAACAATCTCCCACTTGGGCTACACATTGACCTGAGATAATTATATCATATATCCTTACTGTATGCTATTTATCCTTAGGTTCCTCCTTAGATACAATCTAGTCCATCTCCTATATTAATATGAGATCATGGCAGCTTTTGTCACTGTCAAGCGTAACTAAACCTTCCATGGTCATTACACCAATATATTCAATGACATAGATCAAGTATGGACGAGTGGCATGGATATTACATGCAATGTGATCTCAACCAGGCCTATTTCCAACTGGTCCTACTTTAGTTTTTACGAGATCAGTCCTTAATTTTCTGCATACACAAAGCAGAAACACAAGCACAAAATATACATATTCAGAGGGAAAATAGCATCAAAATCTTTATTCTGCAGAAAACAAACATATAAATGTTTTTACATAGAACACCAACATAAAGAACTCCCACTAAACCATAGTATCATCACACAAAACAACACCCATATGAGCAGTATGCTCGTGAAAGAAATTAGGCACTACGCCTTTAGTAAGCGGATCTGCAAGCATGGAGTTCGTACTTATGTGTTCTATGGAAATCTGACCACTCTGAACTCTTTCTTTAACAACCAGAAACTTTATATCGATGTGCTTCGATTTTGAAGAGCTTTTGTTATTGTTGGAGTACAACACTGCTGACTTATTGTCACAATAAATCTTTAGTGGCTTTTCAACACCACTTGCTATACGCAGCCCTGTGACAAAATTTCGCAGCCATACCCCATGGTTGGATGCCTCAAAACAAGCTACAAATTCAGCGACCATAGTAGAGGAAGCTACAAGTGTCTGCTTAGCACTCTTCCAAGAAATAGCTTCTCCAGCTAACATATAGACATAACCTGACGTGGATCTTTTACTATCTTGGCATCCAGCAAAATCGAAGTCAGAATACCCAATGATCTCTAATTCATCTTACCTCCGATATGGGAGTATGTAATCTTTTGTTCTCTTTAAATACCGCATAACCCTCTTTGATGCTTTCTAATTATCCACTCCTGGATTGCTTAAATATCTACCTAATACTCCCACTATAAATGCTATATCAGGGCGAGTACAAACCTGGGCATACATAAGGCTTCTTATTGCCGAAGCATAAGGTACCTTTGACATTTCCATCATCTCTAGCTTACCTTTGGGGCATTGATCGAGACTAAACTTGTCTCCCTTAGATATGGGCGTGTCTTCTGATGTACAATTCTTCATGCCAAATCTATCCTGAATCTTTTCAATATAGGCCTTTTGTGATAATCGTAGGATACCTTGAGAGCGATCTCTAAATATCTGTATTCCAAAGACAGAAGATGCATCGCCAAGGTCCTTTATCTCAAAAAATTTAATGAGAAATTTCTTGCTTTCATGCAATAAGCCTATATCGCTGCTGGCAAGTAATATATCATCAACATATAGTATCAGGAATATGAATTTACTCCCATTGAACTTGTGGTGCACACAATCTTCTACCAAGTTTACCTCAAAGCCATAAGAGATGATAACCTGATGAAATTTGTGATACCATTGACGAGAAGCTTGCTTAAGGCTATAGATGGATTTCTTTAATTTGCAAACCATAGACTTTGAATCTCCAAATACAAAGTTTTCTGGTTGCACCATATAAATGGTCTCATCAATGTTACCATTAAGAAGCATTGTTTTTACATCCATCTAATGTAGCTCCAAATCCAAATGAGCCACAAGTGCCATTATGGTCCTAAAAGAGTTATTCGTAGAAACTGGAGAGAAGGTCTCTTTATAGTTTATGCCTTCCTTCTGAGTGAAACCTCTAGCAACTAGACGTGCCTTATATCTTTCAATGTTGCCCTTGGAATCCCTTTTGGTTTTAAATATCCATTTACAACCAATGAGTTTTGCACCTTTAGGTAACTCGACAAGATCCCAAACGTCATTATCTTTCATAGACTTCATCTCATCTTTCATAGCATCAATCCATTTATGAGCATCAGAGCTTTCTAAGACTTGTTGGAAGTTGATTGGATCATCTTCCTTCAAGCCTAAAATATTTTCATGCTCTTGAAGAAACACAATATAATTATCTGGAATTGTGTTTCTCCTTTCTTTAATAGATCTCCTTAAAGACACTTCTTGTGTTTGTTGAGTTTGTTCTTCATGTGGCAAAAGAGACGATTCATTGTTGTCTTGACTCAAAGTAATGTCAGGAACTAAAGCCTGTTCCATAACAACGAATGAACAGGTACCTGATCATTACTTGTTTGTATCGGAATTGCATCTTGAATGACGACAATATTAGGAAGAGAAATATAATTTTCTTCATCATCAAAGGAAACATTCCTTACTTTATCCCCCCCCCCCCAAACTCAGCATCCTCAAGGAATCTGGCATTTCCCGTCTCAAAAAAAAAAAAAATCTTGTAATGAGATTATAAAACTTAAAACCCCGAGAGTGTTCAGAATGAAAAACATTAATCTCAATTGTTAAATAAATAAATAAAAGCAAGAAACAAGTTTTTGTAGATCAACAAGTTTTTTTTCTTTTAAATCTGAGCAAGAAATATGTTACAGGCCTACTCCCTGTCACAAGGAGTAATGAACTTTATCGGGCTTTCACAAGTTAAAAAAACTTTTATAATTTTAAATGTTTGTTAAAAATTCATATGATTTTGTAAAAATTATAAATTCATATTGTCCTTTTAAATCTTATAAATGCTATTAAAATCCTTTAAAATCCAATTTTATGAAATTTTGATTGTAAAAAAAATCTTTTAAAAAATTCTTTAAAGTCACTATAATTCTAGATAGTCTTTTAAAACTTATAAATTTTTTTAGCTCAAAATAGTTTTTTAAAATCCTAATCCAATATTATATGTATTACTACTTAACCCTTAATGTTTCCATCTCGTCACCTAAATTTGTTGTGATTGTATTATATATCACTTAGACCACCCGTGGTTTTATACATATATAATTTTTAAATTTAATATTAATCCTATATTGATATAATATTATCAATTCAAATTATTATACATTTAAGCCTTAAAGATTAAATTAAAATTAAGTAGTACAACTATAAACAAATTTTTTTATTAGTTTTAATTTGTTTGTTATCATGGTTTATGATAATATAACTTATGATTCTCCCTTACTTAAACCGCATTCAATTGAATTATTTGTAACATATATGTGGATAATATTTCTCATATTGACCCACTAAAAAGAAGATAGAGAGGAAGTGTATTACAAGAGATAGAAATACATGCCTTTTATATAATAATAAACTTGGGCTTAAATTCGAACAGTTGAAGCCCGTTGGGCTTTGACCCAAACACCTGCGAACAGGAACAAAGAGCAGACAGGTTCCGCCGACCAGCACTTCTCTGAATTCAATTTTGTTTTGTCAATCGTTGGCATTAAGCAGCCAGGCTGTTAAGGCTTCAATTCAAAGAAAGTGTGTGTGTGTTGAAGTGAATGGGTATTCCATCGGAACTGAGGGACATGGCCAACAGAAAAGGTTTCCTTATTGCTTCTCCGGCAGAGGAGAGGAAGATTTTGAGGTCTAAGCAATGTACTAATGGTATTTTTTCTATTTTTTTTTTTAAAACTTCATTAAATGGTTCATCTTATTGTTTATTATTATTTTATTTTATTTATAATATTAGGACTATAATCGTTAGTAGGATTTAAAGGGGAGTGATTTTTATTAGGAGTATCTGATATAAAATTTAGATTATGGATTCTTGTTTTAGTCGGTTAAAATGATTGGTTGATGATTTTCATTAGAGGTATCTCGGTTTATCATAAATGAAGCATTACGTGCTCTTTTGGTAACGCGAGAGGTTTAAAAAATCACCCAAATCCTTGATTGGAATATTTCTAAGGATCTGGGAAATGGTTGATTTTGAATTAAATAAAGGAAATAAGTTTTGTACCATCTACTTTAACTTTAACTTTAGCATCAAAACAAGGGGAAGAGAGTTCCCCTCCTTAAACATCCCTCCTCTTCTTCCATTCCCTCAGCTCAAAAACTTCCAAGCACAGCTTAAAAGGGGAGGGTTGCATTTAATTTACTTTTCTGCTGATTGGCAAAACTTTATTCAAGGAGCTTGATGTAATGTATGTGTTACGATCCTACTCCAAGGTACGAGAGTCAGAGTCCCACATCAGAAATATAAGGTTCTGGTGTGCGGTTTATATGGACTTTGGATTCTCTTACCTCATCGGTTAGCTTTTTGAGGTGAGGCTCTCTTAAGGTTTGTATCAATCGGTATCAGAGTCTTTCACTATGCCATCCAGTTGCAATCAAGTGACACGAGTGGTGACGCTTTCACTATGCCATCCAGTTGCAATCAAGTGACACGAGTGGTGACGCTGGCATTGAAGTGTTCGTCCGAGGCTAGTAAAAAGACGAGTGCAAAGCCCAGCCTGCGTGGGCGCCGAGGCTGCGAAACATGGTGGAATGTTATTATCCTACTCCAAGGTGTGGGGATTTGGAGTCCCGTATCGGAAACATAAGGCTTTGGTGTGGGGTTTATATGAACTTCGGGTTCTCCTACTTCATGGGCTACCTTTTTCAGTGAGGCTCTCCCAAGGTTCGTATCAGTATGTTTGCCTGGCCAATGGCCATACATCAAGTAAATGTCCTCATTCAGCTTCAGCTGTCTCCAAGATTTTCATCAACAAAGCAGGGCATATATGTGCTACATATTTTCTGATCTTGTCAAAGTTTGCCAAAGATCACGAGAAACTTGAATTATATAAGTTTTAACCTACCTTTTCTTAATATGCAGAAGGTGTGCGTGCTGGATTCAAGGCAGCTTCTATTGCATGTGTCGCCAGTGCCGTGCCTACAGTATGTAATTTTTCATTTTGAAGACTTGCTGATAATGATACTGTGCTTCGTATTTTGTTTTGAATTATAAATAGAAATTCACTTAAACAATATTTATGTAGCTTTTTGGGTGCAACTTTTTTCTGTAATAAAGTCCTTTATTTCACCAGCTTGTTGATGGTTTATGTCTCCATGAATTGGTGAAAGAAAATCTTATGATGTCGAAAGATAAGACTCCACCATTTTATACTGGACCTAATTTTACCCCACTAGTTGGCATTAACTAGCAATCACCACTTAAATTCTAAGGTGTACCATGACTTTATGTTTAAGGTCTTTCTTGATTTTTCTAGCCTTGTATCCTTTGGGCTCTGAGCATTTGAGTTTTGACATCAGCAACTCGAGGATGCTTTGTCCGAAAATGTTTGTAACTGATGGCTGTAGATGAAGTTGTGAACAGTTTGGACTGAAGGGCATATAAAACTCAATCTTTCTCTACCATATCTCCCTCTGGCTATATATTATACTGGTATAATGTAAGAATTAAGAATGTTATTGTCCCTCACACACTAAGATAGTGGTTATAATGTCACAAAAATAATGTTGATAGATTGAACTTCCATATGACAAGTTTGAGTTCAAGACCAATTTACTTTTTGAAACCTTTTCTCTTTGGGTTACCAACTTCTAAAACCTAATATTCAGTGTAATTGAGAAATCTGGCAGACTGTAACCTTCATATGTTTGTTGATGATGTTAAAATCATGTAGAGAGATTGCACTAAATATTGTTTGATTTCAGTATTATGTCATTCTATGCCACTCTATTCATTAATGATAGGTTGGCCTATTAAAGATTCTTTATTTAATGTTTCATTTTTTAAATTCACAGTTGGCTGCAGTTCGCATGATTCCATGGGCCAAGGCAAACCTCAATTATACTGCACAGGCACTTATCATATCTGCTGGTATGATCTCAACTTAAATAGAAACTTTAGTCTTGTAATCTTGGTATCAGAGAACCAAAAAACTAATTTAAGATCAATGTACTTTTAGATTTTGTATGAACAATAATAAATCTTTTTCATTAAGGGCTTCGTATCTGTAATTGGCTTCGAAACAAGAAGCAATAAATCTTGATACGAGCTTATTAACAAATTCATATATTTATCATGTATGTACTTAAATGAAAAGGATTGCCTTCTTTTGAAAATTCAATGAAGAAGGAATAGGACTCGTCTTTTTGCTATTGATCCACCCTGTAAACAAAATGCATGACTTATTTCGTTTACTTTGATTCTCTTTTGCAAAGTGTTTGAATACATAGTAACATTAAACTGTGGTTGGTGAACAGCATCCATTGCTGCATACTTCATCACTGCTGATAAAACTATCTTGGAGTGTGCAAGAAAGAATGCGAAGCTTGAAGACTCTTTGAGACACAATAGATAATACAGTTATATCTTAGAAACTGCAACATGTAAGAAATATCGTTGGTCTTGGGGCATGATGGTGCTACTTCTTGTAATGCAAGTTCGGCTGGCCTATTGCAAAGTTTTTGTTTATGGGTCTGTCTGAGATGGATTTCAAAGTGTATTTTCTTGAATAAAATATTTTGTTGTTATGTAACATTCAAATTTAAAAGGGGGCGAACCGGAGCAGTGGTAAAACTGTTTCTTTATGACTGAAAGATCATGGGTTCGAATTCAGGAAACAGCCTCTTTGCAATTATGCAAGGGTAAGGCTGCGTACAAGGATTTTTTCCACCTCACACTCGCTAGTCGGGTTTAACGGGGAGTGGTTTTTTTTATGTAACATTCAAATTTGGAATTGCTCTCCCTACGGCTTCAAAAGTTGTAAGTTGTGCTGTGGGTGACTTCATGTCCTTTGCTAGCTTTTGTTGCAATCTCTACTTGTCATAAAAGTTTAAAATAAAAAACAATACTTCTGACTTACAAAATTCTATTTGCAATTTGACATTTTGGTCTGATTCTAATTGCATATCTTGTTTCCCTTCCATATACCTATGGCCCATTCACCTATATGAGTTCAGTTATTTATTAAAAAAAAAAAGCTTAATCAAACTCGTTTATTTAACTAATCAAACAAGTTAAAAGTTTGAGAATAGATTTTTTTTAAATATATATGGATTTCATTTCTATGCTTTGACATTAAAAGCTCATGAATAATTTGTTTATATGTACATGCCCGCGTGTATATATGTACAAAAGGGACATAGTTATAGAGATATAAAGTGAAGTGAGAGTATTATTTTATGGTGAGAGATGGGTCAATTTAAATTATTTATTTTACATGGCCAAGACTAGAAGTTACTCAATATTTATATGACAATTTGAATTGTAATTTTATTTATTATTGTTAATCACTTACTTAATTCAAATTTTTGAAGTCTTAATTTTCATTCCATCTTATCCACCCTTAAATAACATGGCATTGAACTCATTTATTATAATTAGATTGATTCCATTGAAGTAGATTATATATGTTTCATGCCATTAAATCCGTCTCATGTAAATTTGTAATATAGGCAATATAGTTTCTCTTTTCCCTTCGAGTGGTTAATATTATGTTAATATCAACTTTACCAAGTTAAAGGGTAAAAGTTGATAAGAAAGTTTCTTGCAAATGGGGAAGAAATAAAATAATTTTTTTGTTAATAAATAAGTGAAAAAGAAGTATCATTTTAAAGACACATGCTTGTGTTTTTTTAGTTGATTTATACAAAGTATGACGGCTCATACTTTGTGTAAATCTGAAAAGTTATTTTTTTTCTCTCTTCAGTCACATCGCTGACGTGTAAAGTGAAAATTTTTTTTTTTCAGATTTACACAAAGTATGATCAGTCAGACTTTGGGTGTGTATGACAACCTTCTCGGAATGAGTTTTTTTTTTAATTTCTGTTCCCGGGAATAAAAATGGATGAGAAACTCGTTTGGTAAAATCAGTTTATTTTTTTGTTCCCCGGATGAACCGGTTTAATTTTTGTGCCGAGAAACAAAAAAAGAATAAAAAAATTTCTGCTTTTCTCATTCTGGGCACAAAAATAGAATCAGTTTTCCCTCGCTCTCTCACTTCTTCGTACCCCTCACACACCAACATCAAACCATCACTGGCCTTCAACATATCAGCAGACCACAACCCTCCTTCATCGCGGAAGTTCTTCGTCTCCTTCCCTCTCTCTTTTGCGTTCCCACTTGCACGTCTTTCTCCTTCACACAAGAACAATAGGTATGCTCCTCATCTCTTCGTCTCGCTGAATCTCAGATTAATGGTAGGAATAAAAGTTTATTTTGTTACTTAATTTTTCTTCTTTTATGGCGTGTGATTAGAACTTTAAGTTGCAAATTTTTGGGATTTTTTAAATTGGGGCTAGGGCTCTTGAATTTCCAAATAAGTACTTTTGCGTTGTGGTTGAATTCTATTGCAATTTGTTATTTTATACAATTAATGAACTTTGTAAACAAAAAGTAAAGAAATAGATTTATACGTAATTTTGAATCTCAGGATAAAAAATAAAACGTGTTATCAAATGCAATTCTCATTCTCGGAATAAAAATAGAACATGTTATCAAACACGTTTTTTTCCTCAGAAACTGTTCCAAAGCACAGAAACAGAAAAGAATTATTTCTTTTCAGAAACAGTGTCAGGGAACAGAATGATTGTTATGCACACCCTTTGTGTAAGTCACTAAAAAGACACAACTTACATTCTTTAAAAGGACACAACTTACATCCTTTAAAAGGACACACACTAAACCCAATAAATAAAGCACGAAAACGTAAAGCTCGAAACTAAATTGCCAATCACAAATGTAGTCAGACATTTCTCTGCGTATAGCTTGCCAATATGGCCGTCTAGAAGAATATCTTCATAGCTAGATTGTAATTTATTTTTATTTTTTTCTTTCTCCCAAGATTGGGTCGGGGCTGCTTTAAATTCAAGATGCTTTGAGCTAGTGTAGAGGGAGACAAGTATATTAACGAAATGGATAATGCTTTGTCAAAATGCCTTTGGATTTAATTTGTCTTATGCTTAAGTAAGTATTCATGACTTTGGTTGGCAAGGCCTAACGCGCCAACAAACTAGGCTCAACTTATTGTTTAACTTCCAAGATCCTTTTCTGCTAAATTTTCGTAGTTATTAAGATACCCCCAAAAAGATGACAAAACTTGGACTTGGATATATAGATAATGGCTTACCCTAATCCTTGGAAACAACACTAGATTCAATAGAATATACAAAATGATAATCTTAAGGAGCAACGAAAAGAAACTAAGAACAATATAAAAAGAAGTAAAGTGCTTATCATCTTAACGTCTGAAGTTTATTATAAATAAATAAACTTCTACAATATGTATACAGGGGAGGGATCTTTTGACTCTAGAGTAAGACTTAACTCCTCATAAATAATCTTCCGTCCATCTAACGGTTATTATTTATTTGAAATAAATAAATAATTAATTGTTATAGATAACCATTAGATGGACAGAAATCAACGGTTGAGATGAGGAGTAAGAGTTGTAAGTCTTACTCTAGAGTCAAAAGATCCCTCCCCATATATATATATATGACTTCCCACTTTATTCTTTCTTAAGGTTCGCGAGTTAATCAAGATTTCAAAGTTGCTTGCTCTTTGATACTTCTAGAGCCTCAATGAACACAGACAAGAGAATCAGAAATGTTAGTACTAACATATCTTTTGCAGCGTGTGGTTACTCGACTGTTGAAGGAAATGATTATATCCTCAAACATGAATCCAAGGAATCAATTGAATTGGCATCTTCACCAAACTTAGCAGATGTATCATCATTTTTGTTCTCAACATCACCATCATCATCTAGTGAGCCTCCAAATGTTTTTTCTGAGCTTTTGGTCCAACTCCCTACCAAGTAAGTGTCTTGAAGAAATCCAAGTCTCTTCATTAGTAGTTTATCAAACAGTCTAAGGTGTTTGTTACGTTGATTTCTTGGCTCAAATGAATTACTTCCCCGTGTTATCTGCAGGAGAGGGCTTTCCAAGTACTATAAAGGAAAATCCAGAACCTTCACATCCCTATCAGATGTAAGGTGTGTAGAAGATTTATCAAAGAGAGAGATTCCTCATAAAAAGAGAACTCATAACCCATTGCACAGTCCCAATGCAAGCATATCAAAGAAGGCTGGAAGGAGCTGTTTCACGTCTTTAATGTCCAAGTGAAGTTAGAGGATTGAACATTCTCTGACATTTGTTCTATTGGTCGAGCTTATATGTCTAATAAATTGAGTGATAAATGTCTTTTAAATATATTATGAGAGCTTTGAAGACGAGGAACAATTTGTACTAGTTTCGTGTCATCTGGAACAATTTCAAACAAGAGCTTGATAGAGAAAGAAATATTGAGCAGAAGGTAGTGTCTTCATTATTGCCTATAGCTCTTCCTATTATTCAAACCATATACACTATACACTCCGTGTTTTCAAGTTTGGGTAGGCTATCAAACTAACCAGAAGCCTCACATATCATGAGTCAAGGTTGATTCTATTGGTCTCATTGTTGGAGTAGACTTTTAATTATTATTGTTATTACTGAAATGACCATAAACCTTTTTGAGAGTGTGTTAATTTGCCTTAAAATAAATAATAATAATTCCCATAATTAATTTATTAATCAAATATTAAATACTAGCATAGTAGCATTACCCAAAAAAAAAAGGTTAAATATATTAGATACATTGGATTTGGGTCAGCGGGCACATTGCATGGGTGCATTCAGACCTGACAGCACTAGTTTAATGGCCTCAGAACCTTTCAAAAAAAAAAAATTGCGATAATCTACAAGGGTTATTATTTACCATGGCAAATGCAAATAACCCAAAACAAAATTCATCAAATTGTTCACAGTAACAGCTTGATATTCCTTTCTTCATAATTCATACTGTAAAAAAGGAAGCAAAGCTTACATGCCTTTAGACATAAGCCCTATGCAACCTTAATAAAAAGACTAGTTACAAATTCTTCTAATGATTGAGATAAATGATATGAGATACTTTCTTCAACTTTAATATTTTTTTTTAAGGAAAATAAAAAACAAAAAAATTAATCAGGGGTAATAGCTTAAACCCCTATAGAATTACTATGAAATGCTTATTGTAGCCTTCAGTTGCTCAAAATGCATACCGATAGATGGCATCTGCTACACCATCTTCATCATTGCTGGAACCAATTACGTTAGCCACAGCTTTGGTCTTCTCTGATCCATTACTAAGCGCAATGCCTAGAGCAGCCAGCTCTAGCATCTCGACATCATTTTCCCCATCACCAATAGCCATTATCTGCATTTAAGAAATTTGGAGCAAAGAAATGTTAAGATGGAGGCAATACAACAACATTGTTATATATTTGTAGTTAGTTAATCCCAGATAGCAGCAACGAGCGGGCAACTCCAAAAACACTAATGGTGGATCACCAGGTGACCATGGTGAAGATGGCCAATAAACGAATACATTGCAAACATTTTCTAATATAGATAATAGATGCCCAAAACTCGAAGTACTCAAGACATTTAACATAATACTCAAACGTCATATCTCAAAGACGCAATCATTATAGCTTGAAATCACATCAAGCTTCTGTTATGCCATAACATATAGTTTATTTATATTAAATATGTTTCATACATGTCGTAGTTAAATTGCAGCAGTTAACAAAGGCCCTGTTACCTCTTCTTTTTGAACTGCAAAACAGAGGTTGAAGGTGTAAAGAGACAATGACCAGAATCTAATGCCTTAAATTTTAAACAATAAAATTAAATGACTAGCAAAGGTAGGTGTGAGGAAAATCCTTATACGCAGTCTTATTTTTTTATATTTTCGTAAAGAAACTATTTCCCGGATTCAAACCCTTAACCTTTTATTGTTTAGTTTTAAATGTCTTCAATGTCACTCAACAGCCTATCTTATGTTAACTCAAATATTACCACCCATTTCATATATGTGAATTCCTTTACTGAAAGTTTGGGCAAGACAGACAACACAATAAATATCAAAGGTGAACAGATATTTGTGGCACCTCCTTAGCAGTAACCCCCAAATGATCTAGTAGCACTTTTACTCCATTGCCTTTGGATGTTCCCAACGGTACAATTTCCAGCATGTTTGGCACAGCTTGAACAACAGTGGCACGACCTTTTGTTGCATCTGACCAGTATGGCCGTAAAGTATTAGCCACACTCTGGGCAGTGTCTAAGAAAATCATTTTCTGTAGAACCAAATGTAAGTGTTAACAAGATATGCAAATATAAATAATTTAGGTAGATTAGGTTCTTCACTGCAGTTCTATTTGAGAATGGGGTGCAGTCAAAGACAATCTTGTATGTGATATTTACTTAATACTATAAAACAAGAACTAAAACAAAGGGGAAAAAATATACTTCTAAAGTGAAATGTTTTAAAGACAATCTTGTATGTGATATTTACTCAATAATATAAAACAAGAAGTAAAACAAAGGGAAAAAATATACTTCTAAAGTGAAATGTCAAACTAAGGGTTCAAATTACAAGTCATTCCTCCTTTCCTGGTATGGAAGACCTTTAGTGTTGTGCAGTGAATAGCTGCCTATAATGAATTGCAAATTATGCTATCAATTATCACGCATGCACACAGTAATCAAACAAGGAAACCAGGGAGCAAGGATTTGTCATAGTGAATACCTGTATGTCAGCAGAAGCCAGAAGATGTTCAACAGAAGGCATGATCTCAGCCTGTAAAGTATTTTTGCCTAAGACAAAGCAAATGGCATAATAGAATGCAAGGAAGCAAATAGAATTCTGAAAATGAGGTACCTTCGGTTCATGGTATACTGTGTGCAGTGAATCAACCAGTGGGTCATGAAAAAGGGTTAAGCAGCGGCCTTCACTAAATGCAATAAGTGGAACCTTACTCTCCAAGGAGTAAAGACATGCCTGCATAAAGGAACAAAAATCTTTCTTTTATGCAATAGCACGAAGAAAGGGGGCGAACAGTGGTAAAAGCTATTCTTTTATGATTGAAAGGTCATGGGTTCAAATACAGAAAACAGCCTTTTTGCAATTATACAATGGTAAGACTGCGTACAAGGATTTCCTCCACCCCATACTCGCTAGTCGGGTTTAACGGGGAGTGATTTTTTTATTTTTATTTTTATTTTTATACAATAGCACGAAGAATCTTCCCATCAATCAGTGTAATTCCTGAATAAATAATTAGATATTTAAATCTGAAAGTTGAAACCCTCAGTCCTTCTGTTATATAGAAACTGTGACAAGAAATTGATTTCCAAGATGCCTGAAAGTGAGCTGGATTCAAAATGCTTTCGTTTTCTCATTTAGGTAAAAAGAAAACCAAACTAGAAAAAAATTTAGTGCAGGAAACTTAAGCTGGTCACTGAGGGTGGGTCAGGGTTTTGATTTGGGGCTAAAACAACAGCACTACCATAATATTACATAAGCAATTGGGAAATTCAGTGATAACAAGTCAAAAAGGAACAGCTAACCTTTGCAATTAAGTCTAAAAGGACAAAGGACTACAGGACATTTTGAAATCAAATAAAGTATTTGTTGTTTCTTTTGAAGGAAAAGTTTTCTAGGGAAATGGAAAAGCGGAGTTAAAGAGGTTACCTCTCTACAGACGTTTGGATCTAAGTTGCTTCTAAATATTTCCCGACCTTGTCTACCATAAACAAGCAATCCCTGGAATCAAGTGGTGAATGGAACGTAAGGCAAAGAACGATAACAGAAAATTAAAACAAAGAAACTAAGAAAGAGGCAGAGTTATATACAAAATTAAAGTCAGACACTTCATGCCGTTGATTATTCAATCAAACAATACAATGCTAAATTCATCAAATTATCGATTTTCATATTATCAAATATGTAATCTCTGAGCTTCTTTTGTTTGGGATAAAGGTGATGTTGATATTGAACCTTTAAGTTTTTTATTTTTGTGCTTTATAACATCTGTGATGGAAAATGCACAATGACACAGTTTTCGTGAATAAAACTTTTGATTCCATCAAAGATGCAGTATTTTTACAAAAATAAAACAAAAGACAAAATATATTGTTTTTATTTTTTTGGATTTATCCGTTGATTCATATATTACCCGACTAATCCGATTCGAACTCGGTCGGACCCGTATATGGAATGACTCTCCCAAGACCAATCATTCACAAGGCTCGAACTTGAAAATCCGGTTAAGAGAAACAAGTTCCTTACCACTTAAACCAATGGTTGTTGGTCACAAAGTATATTATTTGACAGGGAAAAAAAACATTTACACTTAAATATGCATGTAGAGAGAACCCAAATATTCATTACTTATTACATTGATTGTTCTGATGACCATGATCTATAACTAAAGAGTTAGCTTTGGTACGTTTTGCCCTTTCAAATATCCTTTTCTTGTAATTGCAATGATGTTGTCCTTAATTGGTGTGTTTGGAATGTTAAAAAATGATTTGATTTGTAAATCAAATCTTTAACTTGGAATGTTAAAAAATTGGAAATGACTTGAATTCAAAGATCTCATGAATTTCAAAAGTTTAGATTTAGAAATCTTGTCAAATATGGTGTGGCTGAAAGAAAGAACCACAACTTACTTGAAGTTTCCTGTGCTATTTTGTTTTCAAATGAAAGTCTCTAAACCATTTTGGATGGACACTATTTCTAAAGCCTGTTACTTGATTAGTCACCTTCCTTCTTTTGTTCTAGATGGTCAAATTCCTTATTTTCTTCTCATCCCTTCTCAGTCTTTGTTTGCTCCTCTTCCTACAATTTTGTTTGTACTTGTTTTCTCTAGAATATTTGTACTCAAATCTCTAAATTGGATCCTTGTTCTATCACGTATCTTTCTAGGCTACTCTCAGTCAAAATGGTCACAGACGTTATTCTCCTGATTTGCATCACAATCTTGTTTATGCAGATCTGACATTCTCTGAGACCACTCCTTTCTCTTTAGAGTTATCTCCTGTCTCCCATAAGTAATGATGATGACTTCCAAGTATATCACTTTCCTATATCTTCTCCTTTTGTTTCATCTTGTTGAGATATATAAAACCATTAATGTAGCATCACCCAACAACTTAAGTTTTTGGGTTGAATTGGTTCTTTATATGATATTAGAACCTCGGTGTACCAGGTTCAATCCTCACTGCCCCCACTTTATTTCTAGTGGAATTTCTTTCTTCGCACAGGTAGGTGGGTCTGTGCATTGTCCACCCTTCAAGCCTAGTGGGCTCTCGTGTGAGGAGGCGTGTTGAGATATTAAAACCATTAATGTAGCATCACCCAACAGCTTAAGCTTTTGAGTTGAATTGGTTCTTTACACATCTATTTCCGCAAATCATATTGTTCCAATGTTTTTTCTTGGCCTCATCCTCAACCTTTTTTCTCCTCTCCCAAAGACTGCTCAAATGAACAAACCATCTGCTGTTACCATACTACCGCTCCCTAGACCTCCAAATTCACCGCCTCCTAAGTTTCCTTCCTCCTTGAATCCTACTATTGTGTCTAGCCGTAATCTCTCGATTGCTCTGCAAAAAGGTAAGCACAATTCTTCTTATCCTATCTCTTCTTTTGTCTCTTTCCACAGTTTATTTAGTTATGCTAAGCTCTTAGTAGCTTGTATTGACTCTCTTGCTATTCTATTGATTCTCTCCTTATATGCGTTTTTGTTGGAGGTAACATGCCTCTTAGAGAAATAAAAAGCAAAATGTTATTGGTCGGTCCAATGCCGAATCAAAATATCATACCATTGCCCAAGCTACATGTGAACAGGTGTGCAACATCATCTTCTGGATGAGATTGATTTCAAAAGTAAAACACGAAGAAATTGTGCTTGACAATTAAACTTCCATTCATATTGCTTCTAATCCTGTTTTGCATGAAAAAACAAGACATATAGAGGCCAATTGTTACTTTGTGCGTGAAAAGATTCAACAAAGGCTTGTTGGCACTAGACAGATCTGTAGAACAACTCACTAATGTCTTCACAAAAACACTCATATTAACACCTATGCTCCAGCTTAAGGGGAAATGTTAGAAAATAGTTGTTTATACATGTGCTTATTAGGTTATTTTGTATCATCGGGATGGTTCTATCTTTCTTGTACCGGTCTTTATTTTTCAGTAAAAATAGATGCAGGAAGACAAACAATATTGAGTTAGTCATTCCTATTCGCGTTGTCTTGATTTCTTCTAACATTTCCAAATTAAATGAAATCAATTCAATTCAATTCAATTCATTTACAATTTTTAATGATTACAAACAAAAATATTAAGCATACTATGTCAAAGAACTGATGAAGCTGACAAATGTTCGTTTATCGGAAAACAGAAGCTTATAGGCCAATTAGGAGGGTAGAGAAGACCAAAATACTAGTATAAATTTCTACATTGGTCTGAACTGAAGGGAGGGAAGTATGGACATATGAAATTAATATACAGGAAGACAGAAGCTTCAATAGATCAGAGTCCTGGTATGTATTTTTCTCTATATAAGTAGGTCTGAAAGTATGGACATATAAATCTAGTAAGAGACAGCACATACAATTCTCATAGTAAAGTCTACATCTGTGTTTATTCATCAGCCTATCTTAGAAATCTCCATAAGATTATCCTCTAAGGTTATCATTGTCATGAAATATCCATCTGGTGATTTAAGTTATTTCTGAAAGTCTATTGTTAGATTATTTTTAATGAGATTGAGGTAGCATAGCTATTTATAGTAAATTTTGACAGAATATTGAATGGTAGGTGCTAAATGTATGCAATATTGTTTTACACAAACAAATGTATAAATATGTAAGAGAAGGGATTATGATACTTTCAACCACATATATGGACTGCCTTGCTGCATCAAGCAGCATCATGAACATTAAAAGGGCAAAAATAAATTACCTGCAAGAAAACCCCAGGAGAAAATTCTGAAACAATGCCATCTTTTCCAGCTAAATCCACCATTTTAAAAATATCTATCACAGCTGGACGAGCCTATTTCCCCATGGTCAAAAGTCAAAACTAATGATCAGAACATATTTTCAACCATATGAATGTCTATATTTATATTAGAAAATTTACTAAGATATATAGAAGTAACAGCAACCAATGATTGATATGTATTATGGTTGAATGTCTATATTTATATTAGAAAATTTACTAAGATATATAGAAGTAACAGCAACCAATGATTGATATGTATTAGCCAATACAGAATAAATAATTCACAACATGAAACCATGACAAATCATGGATCTAATATGTCTTACTTTTCCAGTAGCTATCACAATTTTCACACCCCTTGATGAGGCCTCTCTCACAGCCTTGGCAGTTGTAGTGGAAATTTGACTTTTGCTGTTCAGCAATGTTCCTTTATATAATACAGGAGTCTATCAAAACCAAGAAAAGGACGAAGGAATATCTAAAGAGTATGTTTCGCTGTGATCTTACCATCCATGTCACAGAAGATATAGCTGAACTTTGGTTTGTAAAATCTAAGACTGCCTTCTTTCTTCCTGTCTTTAGACAATTCATATGTAAGATTATTTCCCCCACATACTTTTTATGCAAATGACAGTTATTTGAATTAGAGGGAAGCATATAAAACCAAAAACTAACATAAGTTGAGAATCCTGATGCATATTAGTAAAACATACAATTACCATCTGAACTGTCTTGCTGAGAATTTGAATTTGAATCTGTGTCAGCATCATATGCACTCTTTATTAGCCCTTTTCCTTTCCAACCAAGACTCTTCAAAAGGAGTTCCTCCTCTCTCTCCATTTCCACTTCAGCCTCTTCGCTTATTTCATGATCAAATCCCAAAAGATGTAACAAGCCATGAACCTGTGAAAAGATGAAGTAATTAATATTCTTGAGTCTTGGCTTTCAGTTCACACAACGTATAGACAGTCTTAGAAGATAAAGGACCAACATGCTCATCTCATTTTCTTTTTGAGCTACACACCCACACCCAGAATTAAATGAAACACCACTTCACTTTCCACCTTAAGTATCTTAAGTTTAATCCTACAATTTATTTCTATTCAAATTTCAAATTGAAATGGAAAATCAAGTATTTGTATTAACTATTTTAAATTTTCTTTTCGTTTCTCTCTTTTGAAATGTCTAAAGAATTCATTTAAACATTTATGATAAAGACACATATTTCAAAAGATCAGTTCAAAGTATCAACATTACTCGAAGAAACTCAAGGAAAAAACTAAGCAATTGCCTCACTCGTGTGAATTTAACCATGCCTGTAGCAGGTAATATAATCTAACAAAATAAACTTTGACACAACACAGAAACAAGTCAGAATATCATGAAACCAACCATGAGGACACGTATCTCATCAAGAAGTGTATACCCTCTTTCCTCTGCTTGTCTCGCCGCTGTCTCAACAGAAATTACAATATCACCCATCATAAGCTGCAAATAACAGAATTCATCAAGCACTTAGCATCCCATGGTTCTGAGTTTTTACTGATTAGCAACAACAACATCCTGCCCTACTTATAATCAGCCAGACAATGCATATCTTACAATAGGAAGCTTGAGTCCAGGTTCATGTGATGACATTGAAAGAACATCAGTAGCGTGATCCTCATTTCTCCATTCCTTATTAAGTTTTCGGATAAACTCATCATTGGAAAGAAGCACCGATATCTCAACACTTTCGAACCCGCCAACATCATTTATAGCAGGATCTCTTGTTTTATACCCGGAATCTTTCAAACCGTCAAATGCCAGTTTCATTGCCATTGGAACATTCAGACGAAGCATCTCGGCAATGCTCTGCACTCAATAAAGTTCACTGCATCAGAGTAAGTTGAGTAGTCTAGTACAGCAATAGAGTGCTACAGCTCCTAGAGTAACTGTTGTTAACTCTCAACGGATTGAGAGTTTGTTAGCTGACGTGGCAAATCTGTTAAGCCACAATTGTAACAACTAACAGCTATTCTGTTAGCTGAGGTGGCAAGTCAGTTAAGCCACGGTTGTAACAGCTTCTGACTCAAGCTTGCTTTGCAAGCTAAAAGCTATCAGAAAATTCTCAAATTCATTTTTCTCTCTCTCATCTCTGTTCTTTCTTTTCGAACACTCTCTAATTCGTTTACACTGAGACTTCAATCTAGTAAATAAATAATGGAACCTCTTTTTAAGCTTCTTATTATAATCCATAGCTTAAAATCACATAAAGAAAAATAAAAATGGCGGGGTGTGAATTACCAAAATTTCAGGATCATCAGGCAAATCTTCTTCGATGCAAATTTCGACGCAGAGTTCCAACTCCTTCTCTTTGCTCTTGGGTGCACGCCTCCTCACCTTCCGATACTCCCTCTGTCCGGCACGGACTCCCACCAATGCCCCGAAACGGTTATTATTCCCGTCGTTTGGGAACGGAGCGAGGGCGTGAAAGCTACGACCCAAAAGCGAAGAGTTTGAAAGCAAAGAAACATTAAGAGGGTTCGAAAGATGAGTGAAACCGAAATGGGAAGAGGAACGAATAGGGGTGGGAGTGGAAGAGAGATGAGGTTGAGTGGAGCATGTAATAGTAATGGCACGTGCCATGACATGGGCGGAGTCGATAGGAGGGTGACGGAGGAGGTTGGAGAAACGGGGAAGCATATAGAAATGGAGTTTCCCACCAAATGCTTGGTTTTTTGCCTGAGCAAGCGTGACAGTAACCTGAACGTATGTATCCAAGAAGGCGAGCGAATATCCTCGGTATGCTTTTCCGTCCCTCCCCTAACCTAAGCGCAAGAGGCCCTTGCTTGTTTTAATACAATCCATTTAAAAAAAAAGAAAAAAAAAAAAGATTATTAGTAATAAAATGAAATCAATATTTTACGGATTAAACTTGTATTTTGATACTCTAAATGTTTAATAATGTAATGCTGCAAATAAAATTACATTAAAATATTTATTTTGTGAAGCATTTTTTGTAATTTTTTTATTTTAGGTTTGTTTTCATCCCAACTCTTTGAATGCTTAAAGTTCTCAATGGATTTTAGGACAAATCTGAATATATCAAGATTAGCATTTTTTTTTTTAAAAAAAATTGTTATGTGTATCTTTCTCATATTCTTTATTTGCTTTCGTTCTCCACCTTTTTTAAATATAGAGTAAATATTATTTTCGGTCCTCATCCGCTTTAGTCCTTAGCAAATAAAAGGCTATTCATAGTTTTTAAAAAATTCAAAGTGGATCCATTTTAGTACTTTTGAGGGACTAATATGAGTATTTTTTGAATTTATGAAGGATAATGATTTCAACTAAATGAATCCATTTTAAATTTCTTAGGACCACGAATAACCTTTTTATTTACTAAAAACTAAAGCGGGTATCGTAAAATTTGCTGAGGATAAAAATGTTTTTAACTCTTAAATATACTTGACGAGCATTGATTTAATATCTTTGACATCAACCTTAATAGCACGACAGTAAAATTGCCCAAAATCGGTGCATCATAGCTCTTACTTATATTCACTATTATCAACCAATGTGGATGTGGAACTGTATCACCCTGAAATATTCCAACTTCAGCTTACACAACTCACATTTTCAAAATTCTAAGGTGGCAACTCTAATTCATTTGTTACCTTAGTTATGAACAAAATATTTTGCAAATGGATCTTTGTGTTGGAGAAGATATGATCATAACTCATTCTTACCATTTGAATAATTGGTCACTGATAGATTATCATTTGTATTTATTAGGATTCATTATATTTATTAGGATGACTCATTTGATTAATTGTTGACTCATAGCTTATCCTTTGTATTTATTAGATAAGAGTATATATCTCTTGTATCAAATCGGTCTAATTAAAATTACTACTAGTAATGATATCAAATCAAGGTTTTGATACCAGAAATTTATCTTGGTATCATAGCAATCTTTTGTCAAACACTTTCGCAGTTTGTAAGCTCTGAGAAAAGTGTGAAAGCTAGCCCAGCAAAAGATGGCCAACGAAGGAATAAACAATTTAAAACTATTAGAACCTGGCTCACCATTTTATTTTGGAGGTTCAGATAGCCTAGGAATCTTGTTGACGATTGTGATGCTGCGAGGAGAAGCCAATTATGAGAACTAGGCAAAACTCATGAAAAAACGTACTCAAAGCGAAAATCAAATTAAGATTCGTGACCTGATCCGTGAAGAAACCGGAGAAGGAGAGGAATAACACGCTTGAGAGATGTGCAACTCTATGATCAATGGTTGGATACACAACACCATTGATCCAAAGTTACAACCTTTCATCAAATGTTTCGATGAGGTGAAGGACCTCTGGAATGATTTGAAGGAGAGGTATGCACTGGAGAATTTTCCACGTCAATATCAACTCAAGGCGAGCTTAGCCAGCATAAGGCAACAAGGAAGCAGTGTTGGAGAATATTACACGAAGTTGAGAGAAGTATGGGACGAACTTAAGGGAAGCAAGTCTTGCGCGTTTGGTGATAATTGCGCTTACACAAAGGGGTTGATGAAGAAAAAGAGCACGATCATGTCTATCAGTTCCTTATGGGGTTGGATGAAGCCACCTTTGGGAATTTGCGCTCATAGATTTTAAATAATTCATCGCTCCCATATGTCAACAAGGTATATGCTATTATGACACAGGAGCAGACTCATCGTACCATTGCTCATAATAAAGATGAGCGAGGCATTGTGATGGGATATGCAGCTCGAACTAACTCAAGGTGGGAACAGAGACCCCAATGCAATGTATGATGCCCGCCAAACAAGTTAAACGAATGCCTTGTCATCATTGTGGATAGACCAACCACGATCCTTCAAAGTGTTGGGCAATCCATAGCTATCCACCTAACCAAAGCTTTGGAAGAGGACGAGGTAGAGGAAGGTCAAGAGGAAGATATGATCATTCACAAGCTCATGCACCACAGATAATCGAGACTCCACAACAAGCAGGAGTATACTCGGCTTTGACTCTTGAACTTCTCCAAAAACTTATTGCACTGGTAGATCAACCACAAACTGACGAGAAACTTTATGGTAAGGTTATACATTCACAATGGTTTATTGATAGTGGTGCATCCCAGCATATGACAGATGTATCCTGTAGGACCAAGTACTGAAGTGGGAGATTGGTTTGGGTGAACTCAATAAGGGAGTCTATGTGTTTCAGCCCATGTAGGCTTCGGATTCAACAGTTCGAGCGTTAGAATCAGTTGATACGTGGCACAAAAGGCTAGGACACCCATCTCATTAAATAGTTTTTATGATTCCTGTGTTTTTGAATTCTCAAAATAAAGTTATATCCAATAAAGCATGTGATGTATGCTATCATGCTAAGCAGACTAGAGCTAGGTTTCCTTTGAGTGCTCATCGTAGTAAATCATGTTTTGTCCTTGTTCATTGTGACACATGGGGTCCTTATCGATCTCCTTCTTCATCTGGAGCATATTATTTTCTAACAATTATAGATGATTACAATAAGGCCGTATAGGTGTACATGATGGCAGAAAAGCGGGAAACATATGATAGAATAAAAAAATTTCTTGCAATGGTCAGTAACCAATTTGGCAAAGTAGTAAAATTATTCAGGTTTGATAATGAGACAGAATTCAAGTCTAATAATTTCATGAAATTGTATACTGATATAGGAATATTATACCAGACATCATGTGTTCATACACCCGTACAAAACGGGTGTGTGGAACGAAAACATAGACATATACTTAATGTCTCACAGGCTTTGCTATTTCAGGCGTGTATGCCAAATGATTTTTGGGAAGAAAGTGTATTGACAGCAGCTCACCTAATCAATAGGACTCCACCAAAAGTCCTTGATGGAAAAATGCCTTATGAGATGTTATATGGTACTGTGGCAAATTATGACCATTTGAAAATATTTGGATGCTTATGTTTTGCGAATCAAAGACCTAAACCAAGTGACAAGTTTGCATCACGATCACGAAGATGTATCTTCGTGGGGTATCTAGTAGAGCAGAAAGGTTGGAGGCTCTTGGACACATGTGAATTCTTTGTGTCCAGAGATGTGAAGTTTCATGAAGAGGTGTTCTCGTTTGAAACTGCAGAAGCAGATTCTCCTGTTGTACTAAGAGAGGAAGTAGGTTCTTCTTTGCCAACAACAGTTAAATGAGTGGAAGATATTAGGACGATGTACCAACATTTGAGGCACAATCACTAGCAGGTGCGCAAACAAATACACCTGCAGCAGATAAGGGGGTATTCCTTCACAAGCAGTGATTCCTAGTAACATTCCTGCAAACAATCCTGCTGATGGAAGTAGAACATAAGTCAGAGAGCAACGAACATGAAAAGCTCCAATCTATTTACAAGACTATGAGTGCAATTCGGCAGAAACACATATGACTACATATGACATCACCCAGACCAACCTCTCCTCAAGTACAAGGTACACATCCACTGACTATGTTAGTATGTCTAATTTTTTTGAAAAACATAGAGCATTTGTGGCAGCAATTGATGCAGGATATGAGCCAAACAATTTTCGAGAGGCTATGAAAGACTCACAATGGATTGAAGCCATGAGAACAGAAATCAATGCATTGGAGAAAAACAACACTTGGATGATAACTGAATTACCTCCTAGGAAGCATGATCTTCCAAGCAAATGGATGTTCAAAATAAAGTACCATTCTAATGGTACAATTGAACGATACAAAGCAAGGTTGGTGATCACAGGGAACTATCAAGTGGCTGGTGATGATTATGGTGAAACCTTTGCACCTGTTGCAAAAATGGTTAGTGTTCGAACGCTCTTGGTAGTAGCTGCTGCAAAGATTTGGGAATTGCTCCAGTTAGATGTTCACAATGCTTTCTTGAATGGTGATTTGAGTGAGGAGGTTTATATGAAGTTTCCACCGGGTTTCAGCAATGGTTCTGCAAATAAAGTGTGTCGTTTAAAGAAGTCTTTATATGGGTTGCGCCAGTCACCTAGGAACTGGTTTTCGAAGCTAACATCTTTGCAGGCATATGGTTTTTAGCAATCTCGTGCAGATTACACTCTTTTTACTCTAAACCGAGGTGACATCTTTCTTGCTTTATTAATTTATGTGGATGATATTGCACTAGCAGGAAATAACACAGAAGCCTATAGCATGGTGGAAGAATACCTGAATAAGTGTTTCAAGATAAAAGATCTTGGGTGTTTAAAATACTTCTTTGGCATTGAAATAGCCCATAACAAGAATGGAATTTACATGTGTTAGCGTAAATACGCCCTGGACATCCTTGAAGAATCGGACCCAGTGGCAGCAAGCCTGCCCAATTTCCTATAAAGCAAAATCATCGATTGGCTTTGACGGATGGACCGGAATTTGCAAACTCGGAGCGTTACAGATGACTAGTTAGCAAGCTTATTTACCTCACCATTACTAGGCCTGATTTGTGTTATGTTGTTCACATACTCTCACAACTCATGCAACAGCCAAAGCAAGCTCATTTTGATGCAATCATGATGGTACTTAGATATGTGAAACGGAACCCAGGCCCAGGTCTTCTTTTGCAGTTCAATTGTGACTTGAAGATACACGCATACTGCAACTCGGATTGGGCCTCCTTCCCTCTAACTCGTTGATCACTGATTGGATTCTTTGTTATGTTGGGCAGCTCTCTAGTCTCATGGAAAATTAAAAAGTAGGTGATAGTCGCACGTTCTTCAGCAGAAGCTTAGTATAGGTCTATGGTAGCTGCTACAACAATATTGGTTTGGCTCAAAGCTTTCCTTACATCATTAGGGGTGGCACATGATGGACCTATGGAATTATTTTGTGACAATTAGGTAGCTTTGCACATTGCAGCATATTCGGTCTTCCATGGACATACTAAACACATTGAACTGGATTGCCACTTTGTCCGAGAACATATTATGGCCAACAATATTATTACCGCTCATGTTCGATCCAAATCACAACTTGTTGATATTTTTACAAAAGCCTTAGGCCATGTTGCATTTCTTACATTTCTTCTCAAGTTGGGCATTGCAGCATCTTTTACATGTTCCAACTTGAGGGAGAGTGTTGGAGAAGATATGATCATGACTCATCATGACTCATTCTTATCATTTGAATAGTTGTTGATTCATAGCTTATCATTTGTATTTATCAAGATTCATTATATTTATTAGGATGACTCATTTGATTAGATGCTGACTCATAACTTATCCTTTGTATTTATTAGATAGGATTGTATATCTCTTGTATTAAATCGGTCTATTTAAAATTTCTGCTGCTAATGATATCGATTTTGATACCAGAAATTTAACTCTTTGGATCTTACATGGAAGGAACAACTTTTTCATGACGACTGTAGTTGGGTCTTCAAGAGAAAATATTAGAATGGAAAGTGATCAAAGAGAAAAGGAGACCATTTATCTTTCAAAATAATATCGGATTGTGATTTTCTCTCATAACCTTATAATGTGGAAAAACTGAAAATGACACTGAGAGAATCCATTTCTAGTCATTTCATATAACCAGAGAGAGTCAATGGCCAAAACCAAATCCAAGTCCAACAACTAAATTGAACATAAAAGCAGGAAACAACTTGCTAAAGAAATGACATGATCATTCTTGAAGAGGCAAGCTATGCCAACATGTTGAACTTGAAAAAGTAAAATTAATGGGAAGTCCATAATTAAGACGATGAACAAGTTATTTTAGCTAACCACTTGTTGGACCTAAGATAAGGAGATATACTTTGTAAAGAACCTTGAGATACACCACCCCAAAAGCTAGCTCAAAGAGTGGGAGTGTCCAAGACCTTATAAAGGTTAGATTAGTTGTCCACACAATCAATGTGGGACTATATATCTCAACACGCCCCCTCACGCAAGAGCCCTTTGGGCTAGAAGCGTGGAATTGCACAGGCCCAATTTTTGGTTTACCATTTTGTGCTTTTTTATTTTAATTCCACTTGAAAGTGGGGGGTCGTGAGGATCGAACTTGTGACCTTATAGTCACTCAAGCTTGGATACCATGTAAAGAACCTTGGGATACACCACCCCAAAAGCTAGCTCTGATCCATACTCTGTAAGTGAAATAGAGGCTCTTCTTATGGCTCAAGAAGAACGTCTGGAAAAACACAGAAAAACTGATGTTGGCCTGATGCAAGCCAATCTGGCGCAAATGAATGTTAGAAAGTCTTATGGATCACATGCTGGGAGGTATCCTTCACACTTCAACAGAGAAGGTCGCTTCAATAATTTTAGAGGCAGATATGGAGGGAGAACACACAATCTGCAGCATAGTGGAAGACCTCAATGCCAGCTATGTGGCAAACCTGGCCATACAACATGGGAATGCTACAACAGGTTCAATCAGGGATTTCCAAATCCTTTCAACAGCAGGTCAGAACGTGGTGAATCTTCACTTCCAAACTTGCAAGCAAATGTTGCAATCATTGGAAACAGTCCATCTGCTCATCAAGATGACAGCACCTCTGAATTCTATTCAGTCTTTGATCCAACGTGGTATCCTGATTCAGGAGCTTCGAACCACTTCACTCCTGATGCATCAAACTTGTTGTCAAAGACTACATACAAAGGTTCAGATACAGTTCAAATAGGTAATGGATTAGGTATGAAAATTCAGCATGTTGGTAATTCAATTTTACAATCCTCTTCCAATTCTTTATCCTTTTCTTTACCTAATCTGCTCCATGTACCTGGTCTTTCGAAGAACCTCCTAAGTGTATCACAATTTGCCAGGGATAATCATGTTTTCTTTGAATTCCATGCTAATAATTGTTTTGTGAAATCTCAGGCTACCAAGGAGATTGTTCTCCAAGGAAAGCTTAAAGATGGTCTTTATGCCTTTGATGGAGCAAATTCAATAAAGTCTTTCAAGCACTCAGCTTATCAAGTGCAAACTGCAGATCAGTCCATACACAATAAATGTCATTCTGATTCTGGTTCTGTATTAGAACTATGGCATAGCAGATTAGGCCACTCTTCCTTTTCAACTGTAAAATCTGTACTTTCTCATTGTAAATTCCATTCAATAATACAAAACCACCTTTGTGTTGTGCATGTTGTATGGGAAAAATGCATCAGCTCCCTTTTACTACCTCTAACACTGTCTATCACACACCACTCGAATTGGTTTATACAGATATTTGGGGTCCAGCTCCCATAGATAGCACAAATGGCTCCAAATACTATATATGCTTTGTTGATGCCTTTAGCAAATATACATGGCTATATCCTATGAAGTCCAGATCATAAGTGCACTCTATATTTCCTCATTTCAAAACAATGGCAGAAGTTCAACTCAATACAAAACTGAAATGCTTGCAGACTGATAATGCCAAAAAGTATCTTGCTCTCAAACCTTTTCTTCAAACCCATGGAGTTGTTCATCGACTCACATATCCCTATATCCACCAACAAAATGGCACCCCTCAAAGAAAGCATCGCCACATTGTTGAAATGGGATTATCCATGTTAGCAGCCTCTCATTTGCCACAGAAATATTGGGAGGATGCCTTCATTTCTGCCTCTGTCATAATAAATCTCCTACCTTCCTCCAGTCTTCAAAATAAATCTCCATGTAAGGTTCTGTTTAATAAGGAACCAGATTACTTCTTCCTAAGAATTTTTGGTTGTAGGTGTTATCCATATCTAAGACCATACAATTCCCATAAAATGGACTATAGGTCTGCACCAAGTACCTTTTTAGGCTATAATCCTTCATACAAAGGATATAAATGCCTTACACCATCAGGTAAAGTCATTTACTCACGTCATGTGTTGTTTGATGAACAACAGTTTCCATTTAATCATCCACCTTTATCCACTGTACCTTCCACAGTACCTACTTCCTCTATATCTACTCACATGTCAGTTCCTTGTATTCCCACTGTTGCACCTCTAATGTCTTCGAATATCGCACATGTTGAACTATCTACTAATTCTATTTCCAATGATACTATATCAGCTACTGTACCAGCTATTCACACTTTTTCAACTACTGCACCTGTTACTGACCTTAATTGCAAGTCCCCATGTGCCTCACCTATTGCATCAACTACATCTCCTCCAGTCCTTGCAGCTTCACCTAGTGCATCTACTGCCTCTCCTCCAGTAGCTAATAGACAGGGGTTTTCAAACCAAAATTATTTTCTGCTTCCCTTGAACCCACAACTGTAACTCAAGCAATGGAAGATCCCAATTGGCTTCATGCTATGCAAGATGAATATGATGCTCTCATCAGGAACAAGACTTGGGATCTTGTATCTCTTCCTTCTGGTAGAAAACCTATAGGATGCAAATGGGTTTTTAGGATAAAGTACAATCTAGATGGTTCTATACTCAAATACAAAGCAAGGCTAGTTGCTAAAGGGTTCCACCAACGATAGTCCATTTTACATGGTTCTTTACATGGTATCAGAGCTTGAGGTTCGATCCTCACCGCCCCCCACTTTAAAGTGGAAGCACAAAAAGATAAACCAAAGATTGAGCCTGTTGCATAATCCACGCTTCAAGCCAAGATGGCTCTTGCGTGAGGAGGCGTGTTGAGATATATAGGCCCACATTGGTTGAAGAGCAACTAATGTGGGAGTTTATAAGACCTTCGGCACTCCCACCCTTTGAGCTAGCTTTTAGGATAGTGTATCCTAAGGTTCTTTACATACTTCACTTAAAAATGATATGTAGATATAATTGCCATTGACCACTTAGTTTACGCGAGCTCAGTCATCTCCCAAGAAAAAATAAAAGGGCAATTTAGCTGCATTTATTTCAGATTTTGGTTTTCAAAAGAGCTATTGTCTATACATGAATATTTTGTATTTATGGAGATTTTTGCTAATTCCATGAATTGAACCGACCACAGCAGCCACTGAAATAAGGAAGCACAGGCAGCTTAAAAGTTGGAGCATACACCACTTCAATGAAAGTCTTCTTATGTGTTTCTGGGCAATGTGCATTTGTATAGGAAAGAATACAACTAGAGGCCAGAACCCAATTGCTCCAAGCAGGGAAAGAATCTCATTGAAAAATGGCAAAGCCATGGCCAAAATTGTGGCCAATATCACAAATATCGTCCTCCAAATTAGCCTAAACAAGTTGAACCTGACTGTTACACTGCCCATCTTGATTGGATATTCCTTGTTTATGAAATCTGACTGTGGCCACGCCATGTTAGCACCCATTTCAACTATACGAAAGAATGGTTGGCCCAATACCTGTAACAAAATATTGAATTCTCACATATATTAGACATCAAACTTCAACCAAAATATACAAGAACAATGTTAGTATTAACTTTTAAATTTAAAAAATAATGATCAAACCTGATATGCTCCAATCATGTGGATTAGAATGCATACGTTCCCCAGAGAGACCAACCAGAAGGGCTCATAAAATCCAGTGAAGATGTTCCCTGGTGTGTTATCGCCAAAAGCAGCATAGCCAAGGCTACTACATACCAGGAAAACTATTGTCATTGCTGTGACCCCAATCACGTTAGCCATTTTCATCTGTTTATTTTCTGGTGGATATGATTTTAATGTGTCCTATACAAAGTATGGAATAATCAGATTCACTGTAACAACACATAATTCCAATTTGCTATAGTAGTTGCATCTCTTTATTTGCTTTTGATTTCTTAAAATAGTGATCATAATAAGTAATAGTTGTGTGTTTTACCATTATATCATAAATAACGGTAGCATAAGTGCAAGCAAGTGCTATGTTTCCCATTGAACTGAAAACCCTCCAAATTTTATCTTCTTGAGATAGTCCTGGCCCCACTTTGGTTCCCGTTATGCTGGTTGCAGCTCCTTTTCCTGCCATGCCCAAAATGCCTATGTAATTATACACAAGCTTTTGAAAACTGGACAGGTCATTGAACCAGTAAAAGAACTAATTTACAGTTTAATAGTTCAACAATAGTGTGTAATACACAATTGGAAGTAAACAGTCTAACCTACTTCACCATTCTTATATAAGGAATCAATGTGCAGCTGGGTCTCGGTCCTAGAAAAGTATGTGGGGGTTGGATATCTTCTTCACTACTAAAATGCTTGCACCTCTAATATGATTAAAAAAAATACTTAACCCTGTTAAACTTTTTGATTTAAATTGATACACTTGTCCATGTCATTGGATTGCTTATACAAATTCAATGTGCTTAAAGAAAGTGTGTGCGTTGTTTCCTTTGGGAAAATTAATGTGGGTGGTGCAGTAGTGTGTTACTCTTTCATGAATTTGATGGACTACTTAGCTTACAGAAAACCAAAAAATAAAAAATGAAAAGAAAAGTTAGATGTAGTGAACCTAAGTCTTACAGTGTATAACTTAGTTTCTAATTTGAACTCTATACAAGATTCTTAGAATCATAACCCCCAATTAGACATTTAAAATAGCCTAAATAAAATGATTTTAAAGGAAGAGAAAGTAACAAGCACAGTAACTAGATTGATGCGTTGCTGTCATTTTAGGACATTTATATGCGGTTTTGAACTTCTTGTGGTGTTACAGGATTAGTAAGAGTGATAAAATTTTCTAGCCACAATTTTTAAAATATTAAACGCTTACATAAAGGCCAAACTACAACTTAATACAATTATTCAATTCAATTTTTAAATTCACACAAATTTACCAAAAGAAAATGACACCACAAATTTGATATTTATATAATGGTACATATATATCATTACCCAGGATAAAAAGCTGAGGATAAGGTTTTGGATTTTTGTGGTTTCTCGTAGGTCCAATATAAATGTGCATCAACCCAAAAAAAAAAAAAAATTGTACCGTATACGAGTTATATTAGCTGGTCATATAATGAAATTTCATTGCATGTATCTCATTACTCATTTAACCCCGTACTAGAGACAACCCGCTAATATACTGGACAGAAGTCCATTGTAGTGATTATTGAAACATTTTTAATGAATTAATGGCAGAAAATACCTGAGACCACGACCGAGAGAGTAAGCCCACTTGCAATGAGTACATAACCAAAAGAGGTGATAGCAGCAACGGTTGAAAGCCATGTTAGCTCGTGAAAGTTTGGGATCTGGGACAAGAAAATTTGCAAGATCCCAAAACCGATCATGTAGGGATTATTAGAAAACTTGCAATAAGCTTCATGTCCTCTTCTGTGGTAGCAAACTGCTTTCTTTATTGCTCTGCCACAATACATTCATCATCATCATAAACCACAAAACATAAAAGATTAAATTAATCCGTATTTGGAAATTATTCATTATTTCTATATTTTAAAAGTTTATAATTGGCTTTCTGGAGTTCTAAAAATTTTTAATTACATTTTTATCATTAAAACCATCATTACCGTTAAAACAGATGCTTTTCCTGTAAGAATTTAATTGTAAATTTTAAAATTATAAGAGTCAAGTTACATACTTTTAAAATATAGAAACCTAATTAAAAATTTGCAAATAGTATAAGATCTGCATATTGATTTAAAGAAGAAAAAAATTAGACTCGATCATATAATTTTCATATTATGATAAAGCTTTAGTCGTAATTCAACTATTGATGTAGTAACTTACACCAAGCTTGCGGATGAAGTTATTGTGTATCCCACCGTGATCCCAGCGAGCTTCCCATATTGGACCAATCCACAAAGCACATACATTGTTCCACCTATTATCAAATAGCAATATGGAACTAATTGAATTGAATAGGCCAGATATATATGCAGATGAATAACTTGGGAGAGTTGCTACCATTTCCTGTGTCTTTTTTTTTTATCGGTATATTTATTATTCGTCAAGTATTTTATTGAGCATTAATTCCCACAAAAAATATTTATTTCCCAGCCAATCACTAGCAATACTTGGACAAAAAAAATCCTTTTGAGTACCCGAATAAGTAGATAATGTAAATGTAGAAGCTCTTATCTTTTGTTTTAGCGTACCATAGTCGTGTAAAATATTTCACGTAAATAATATTGTTTTAGTTATTATTTAGTTTTTATTTAGTCATTTATTGTTGTATTGGGCCAAGCCCATTGTTGTATTGGGCCAAGCCCATTAGGTTAAAAGTAGGTCAAATATTCTCTATAAATAGAGAACCCTTTGTACATATTATTTACAATTCTATAATATATTAGAATACCCTTTTTCAAGTTGGTATCAGAGCTCTCGATCTGAGGGCTTTGCTTCCGCACATATTATCTTCTTTTTTAACAAAACCCTAATTTCTTTGCCTCTTGCCGCCATTAGCCGCCACCGGAAAATTTTTCCGGGGACCTTTTGGACCAAGGGGACCATTGTTGACCTTATTTTTCCTCCGATCTATCATTCTACGCAGTGTTCCTCCGCCACAAACGACCGAAACACCTCCGATCGCCTCCAATCAGATCTGTCTTCACCGTTTGGACCACTTTCCGGCGACTTTTCAACCGCGACCACCCACAGACAGGTGTGCGCTCACCGGACGACCACACCAGAAAAATCTCAGTCGGCGAAGCCCATCCACGCGCTCTCACGCGCCGCCCCTTTCCCGGCGAGTGAATCCCACGCGCAGCTCCTTTCTCCGGCGCGTGGAGGTGCGTGCGGCCGTGTTTTTGGACCGGACCACCACCATTCTTCTCGTCTTCTGTCTGGATCTATAATTATTTTTCTGATCAGAGGTCATTTGATATTCTGTTTGGTTGATTTTATCGCTGGTTGTTAACTTTTTTTGTTAAAGAATGGCTGAGCATGATAGTTCTTCGATCTTATCTGGTAAGAGCACACGTTCTATATCTCTTCTTGCTTCTTGCACTGATTTTAAAACCTCATGGATTTTGGATTCTGGTGCAACTGATCATATGACTTGTCGTACTGAGTTATTTTGTTCTTATCATCCTACTGTTGGTAGTTATACTATATCCGTAGCTGATGGATCCCATAAATCAGTTATTGGTTCTGGTAACATTCAAATTCAACCTTCCTTGTTTCTTAAAAATGTTCTTTATGTTCCTCAGCTTTCTACTAATCTTATCTCCACTCAAAAACTTACAACTGATTTGAATTGTTCTATCACATTTTTTCCTTCTCATTGTCTTATTCAGGATCTTACCACGAAGAAGACAATTGGAGTTGCTAATGAACAGGATGGGTTGTATCATCTCCTTCCAGACCATGCTAGCAAAAATCAGTTATTAATGACACGTCATCCTTCTACTGCAGAGTCTATGATTTGGCTCCATCACAAGCGTCTCGGGCATCCACCATTTAGTCTTTTGAAGTCTATGTTCCCCTCTCTGTTTCTCAATAAGTCGGTTGAGACCTTTCATTGTGATGTTTGTGAATTTGCAAAACACCATCGAGTGTCATTTCCTTCTAGCACTATTAAAAGCAGAGAACATTTTTCTCTTATCCATTCTGATGTTTGGGGCCCTTCTAAAGTGCACAGTGTTTCAGGTGCTAGGTGGTTTGTTTCTTTTATTGACGATTGTACTCGGATAACATGGATATACTTGATGAAAGACAAGTCTGAAGTACCAGAGATATTTATTCGGTTTCATCACATGGTTGAGACTCAGTTTGGTAAGGGTATTAAAAGACTCAGATCTGATAATGGTACTGAGTACGTCAATCAACGCCTGTCACAATTCATTTCAGACAGAGGTATGATTCATGAGCTCACATGTGTTGATACCCCTCAACAAAACGGGGTTGCTGAAAGGAAAAATCGTCACCTTCTTGAAGTTGCTAGAGCACTACTTTTTCAGACATCTGTTCCTAGTTCTTATTGGGGAGAAGCAGTATTAGCTGCAACTTTTTTGATCAACCGTTTACCTTCACGGGTCCTTAACAATATCAGTCCTATTCATTCCATGACTTCCTTCTTTCCTTCTGTTCCCATATTGCAGAGCCTTCCACCAAGAGTGTTTGGATGTGTTGCCTTTGTCCATGTTCATAAACAACATCGGAGTAAGTTGGATCCTAGGGCTCTTAAGTGTGTCTTCCTTGGTTATAACCCTTATAAAAAAGGGTACAAGTGTTATCATCCACCAAGTCGGAAATTTTTTGTTTCTATGGATGTCACCTTTCAAGAATCTGAATCTTATTTCCTGGGTCCTCATCGTCAGGGGGAGAATAGTTCTTCAGAAGACTCGTCCCCTTCCTTCTTTGAGTCTGGATCAATCTTCTCTCTTCCTAGTGTGTCTGCTCCTGGTGTGTCAGAACCTTCAAATACACCTGAGATACAACCCATACTGTCTCACCAGCAACCTCAATCGTCTGAACCACTGGTAAGTCCTGAATCTCCTATTTCTTCTGAATCTCCTGTTTCTGATTCTAATATTATTTCCTCTCATGATTTGTCTATTTCTTCTGATATCTCTAATGACTTACCCATTGCTTCTACTTCTGATGACTTACCTATTGCTCTTAGAAAAGGAAAAAAATCTTGTCACAAGAAAACTTGTTCCTCCTGTCCCTCTTGTACTCAATACCCTATCTCCCACTTTGTTTCCTCTGCTAATCTTTTTGTGCAGCACAAAAGCTTTGTTTCAGCACTAGATTCTATTGCAATCCCAAAATCAGTACATGAAGCCTTGAAAGATAGGAATTGGGCTCAAGCCATACAAGAGGAGATGAATGCTTTGGAGAAAAATAAAACATGGGAGGTTATTGATAGACCCAACGGAAAGAAAGCAGTAGGGTGCAGATGGGTTTATACCCTGAAATATAATTCTGATGGCACTCTTGAGAGATATGAGGCTCGATTAGTGGCCAAAGGTTACACTCAAACCTATGGCATTGATTATGAAGAAACCTTTGCTCCAGTTGCAAAGATGAATACGGTGAGAATCTTGTTGTCCCTTGCTGCCCATTACAATTGGGATATAAATCAATTTGATGTGAAAAATGCTTTCCTCAATGGTGAGTTAGAAGAAGAAGTCTACATGGAAATCCCGCCTGGTTTTGATTCTGTGAAGGGGGAAAATAAAGTTTGTAGATTAAAAAAGGCCTTGTATGGATTGAAGCAGTCACCTCGTGCTTGGTTTGGAAGATTTACTAAGGTTATGATGACCTTAGGATACAGACAGAGCCAAGGAGATCACACTCTTTTCTTCAAGCACTCCCAAAATGGGAAGCTTACTGTGCTCCTTGTATATGTTGATGATATTATTATCACAGGTGATGATTTTGTGGAGAGACAGATTCTGCAAACACGGCTTGCCTCTGAGTTTGAAATCAAAGACCTTGGGAAACTGAGATATTTCCTAGGGATAGAAGTAGCTCATTCAAGCAAAGGAATTTTTATCAGCCAGAGGAAATATGTTCTTGATCTTCTCAAAGAAGCAGGAAAGCTCGGGTGTAAACCCTCTAATACTCCTATTGAGCAGAATCACAAGATGGGCTATGAAGAAGAGAGTCCTCCAGTTGATAAAGGACAATATCAACGGCTAGTTGGGAAATTGATATATCTGGCCCATACTAGACCAGACCTAGCTTATGCTGTTAGTGTTGTCAGTCAGTTTATGCACGATCCAAAAGAAAAACACATGCAGGCAGTAGAGAGAATTCTTCAGTATCTTAAAGGTACTCCTGGTAAAGGATTGTTATCCCGACGTGATGGCAATCTATCTTTAGAAGTCTACACAGATGCTGATTATGCTGGATCCGTGACTGACCGTCGTTCTACCACTGGTTATTGCATGTTTCTTTGCGGTAACTTGGTGACATGGAGAAGTAAGAAACAAGATGTGGTTGCCAGATCAAGTGCAGAAGCTGAATTTCGAGCTATGGCTCAAGGCATTTGTGAGTTACTGTGGCTGAAAATTGTTCTTGATGATCTCAAAATAAAATGTGAGGGACCTATGAAGCTGCTATGTGATAATAAGTCCGCTATTTGTATAGCTCATAATCCAGTTCAACATGATCGGACTAAACATATTGAGGTTGACCGCCATTTCATCAAAGAGAAACTTGATAGCGGGTTGATTACCACTCCATACATTCCCACTGGGCGTCAATTGGCTGATCTATTAACAAAGGGGCTTCCTTCAGACAGATTTCAAGAACTTACTAGCAAGCTGGGAATGATAAATATTTATTCCTCAGCTTGAGGGGGAGTGTTGTAAATAATATTGATTTAGTTATTATTTAGTTTTTATTTAGTCATTTATTGTTGTATTGGGCCAAGCCCTTTGTTGTATTGGGCCAAGCCCATTAGGTTAAAAGTAGGTCAAATATTCTCTATAAATAGAGAACCCTTTGTACATATTATTTACCATTCTATAATATATTAGAATACCCTTTTTCAAGTCACTCATTCATAAAAATATCATCGTCATAAAATGGAGAAAATGAAAAGATCGTTTTTATTGCTGAAAGTTGATTTATGAATTTTGAATTCCATGACTCTAATTATCCATTTGAGGCGAGTGAGTTTTTCCATATATTCTCACAACCCAGGCCGGGAAAGGGCCCACACGAATATAAAACTAATTCCGAATCAAGCCTAATTCCAAAAGGTCCTTCTCTTCAGGATTCGAAACTCTTCTCTTTTATCTATCATGAGACTTATATTATCACCTTGAAGTCTTGAACCAACTCTCAGGATATTGAATAATTATGATTGTTTGTTCACATGACATGATGGTGTTTAAACAAAAGAGATGAAAAGATTAAATTCTGTAAATTACCTAAATAAGCCTTCACAGCTTGGACGTAAGTGTAATTCCTCTTGCCATTGATTGGGTCTGGATATCTGTAGCAATCAGCTACAAGACTGTAAGTGAACATGGATATGGATGCAAAGGCCACCATACTGCCTATACCAGCTATCCATCCTAGCTGGGCCATTGCCCATGCCAGAGCCAGCACCCCTGCCCCAATCACCACTGTTATTATGTGAGTCGTAGCCGTCCACACATTCCCTGTAAACAAACAACCAATATATGTTCAGCTCAACTTAACTATTGTGGTTTTTAACTTTTGATTGTTCATGCAAAGAAAGTTCATTGTCTGGCCACACCATGTAATTGAACCCAACATACTCGGAACTTCAACCCTTTTTTTTTTTATACACTTTAACCTTTTTTATTTCAACAAGTTCAAGATAAAAAGAAGGTTAATAATCTCTCTAACTATTTATAATAAAAAATAATCAGTAAAAAAAATTATTATTTATCTGATTGTTAGAAGTAGTTTAAAAGTCAATACAAATATTTAAAAAAATTTACCCATTAAATCAGATTTAAAAATCTTATGATCTAATAAGCAAATTATCAATAACACACAACTCTTTATTTATTTAGGTACATACAGGAGCCAAAGCCCCAAAACAAAGAAGAAAAACAGAAAAAAAAAACTAAGAACTAAACAGCAGCGACAGGAACAAGATCTGTAAAAGCAGAGCTATCTCCAGGGTCCCATATATCTGCTTCAATGATATATACTAAATTTTTATTATTATTTATCAATATCATAAAAATTTTAGTTATACGTTTGACTTCACCATGTACCGTTCTGTTTGTACTTTCCTTACGAGTCGCAAACCATTTATTTCCTAAATTCTCAAAATTATTAAATAAACACAATCAATAAATGCTTGATAATTATCGCAAATAAAATATTTATAAATATCGGAATAATTTCCTTCGGTATTTTTCAACTAAAATATGGATAAGGTTGCCAATATTCATGACACAAGAGTTACATCCGGTTGCACTTGTCAAACCTTATTAAAAGGACAGATTCGAGCAATTATCAAACCTTATTAAAACGACAGCTCCCAAAAAAAAAACTTTATTACCAAGGCTCAAATTCGAGACCTGGGCTCAGACAGACTCTTATCATCTTTGCCAAGGGTGATTCGTGAGTTATTAATAAAGAAAAGAAGAAAAAAACTAATATCTTCACTTTTTTTTTTTTTTCTCAATAAAATTATTGTTTTGGCAATTCCAATCTTCGATATTCCAGAGCCAATAAGAATTCATATTGAATATTGATGGAGAAGCTAGGTTGCTGAATGAAACGGAGAAAGATCACTGCCGTCGTAGCATAATTATTGTACGCCTTTTTCGTCACTTTTAAGGTTTTAATCACAATAAAAAATAGAGATATTTAAAACATTGAAAAGTTGGTCATAAAACTCTTGAAGACAAGAATCTGAGACGAGAATAAAAAATGAAAAGAAATTGCGCGAGAGAGAGAGAGAGAGCGAGAAAACGAACCAGTTCTTTTGATTCGGCCATCATCGTCGGGTTCCGCTTCCGTAAGAGACTTGGTGTTATCCATTTAGATCCCCTTCTCTGTCAACTATCAACTCACTGAAGGTATCTTCACACCAATTTAATATATAGCAAAATTCGCGGTTGTTTTCTTTTCTTTTCTTTTTTTCACTTTGCTAGAGTTGCAGATCTTGAATTTTTATGGGGGAAAAAACGATGCACTTCTGAATTCGCCAGTATATTAAGTGGAACTGATCATATCCAACACGGCTTAATATAGAAGAAACTTATTATTTTATGGGTTTAATGATTGTGTTTTTAAAATACAGGTATGTCATTTTAATTAAGAAAATTATATAAGTAATAAAAATTATACGAGAAGAAAGTTTTTTAATTTAAATTTTAAATAAAATATTAATTTGTATTTTTTTCTTACTTGAAACAATTTTAAATTTTTTTTTTTTTAAAATTTCTCTTATTTTATTTATTTTTTGTGTTTTAATGTTTCGGTCTTGCATATATATTATAAGATAAGATATTCTTTCTACCAAATATTTTTACTATCACTTTAGTACAATTATATTATTTATTTTGTAGAGTACATTAAATTTTTTTCTTTTCTCTCTTTTTTATAAATTTTTAGAAATTATCGGCTAAAAAATGGAATTCAACATTAATTAGAATGATAATAAATTAATAATAGAAATATTTGATAGTAAAAATATTCTAACTCATATATTATTTTAGCAAAGTTATATTTACTTTCGTTTTAGTTTACTATTCTTACTACTTGATTAATTATTTTAAATTGATTCAATAATAACTAATTAAATAATAAGAATAATCCTCACCAAAAAAAAATATATAATAAGAATAATAACTTTAAAAAAATATTAATGTTCGGTCATAGAAAACCGTAGAATTATACCGTAAGGTATGCGCTCAGAGATATCCTATACACAGATATCTTGGTTGACTTATGGTCAATATCTCAATCACTGCGCATAAGCAATAGAATTATAGCCAAGATATGAGTGTGTGCACAGTGTTGGCAGTAGTACTAAATGAGTTAAGTGTGTGTACCTAGGAGTCTTTAGCCTTTTATTTATAAGGATTACCTCTTGAGTTTGGACTGTGTAGATCTCCTAGTTGATGTAGGACTTGATCTCTTATTTATAAGGATAAGAATTTTATCTTTATTATCTTTATCATCTTATACTGTTACGATGATTATATCATTATCCATTAGGGATTCATGGTTAGGTAGTTAGAATATGAATATATTTCGTAACAATAAATAAAATTGTTCCTATATTATTTTACTCTTTTTTGGGTTCAATAATATAATATAAGATAGTGATTGAAGTTAAAATATTAAAAAATATATGATGACACGTGAAGTTTTAAAAATATAAATAATATATTGTAGAAAGACCTTACAAAAAATCAGAATGTCCAATATTAATGGCACTATTGTTACAACTTGTCGCCCCTTTCTTTGTTTCTTTGATGTCCAGCTGTCTAGATAAGATGCGAGTCATGCGTTCACACGGAGACAATCCCATTCCTCTACTCTCATGTCAACAAATTGCTAATTTCCATTTCTAGAGTGCTTAACAAGTTGAAGTTAAATACTTGCCAGAGTTTTTCCTTACTCCCACGAAAAGTGCTCCCCTCCCACCACTGACTCAGTGGGAACGAGTCAATTAAAATTTCTCATTGTCTATGATCAGTATGATGTGTACATGAAGGAGATATAAAGAAACTTATCTGAGGATAAATGATAAAGAAACCCTTAAGTTATGAGTGTAAATGATTTAGAATTGTAGGAATAGGATAAGTGATGCTAAAGAAACTTACCAGAATTTTTTGAAGTTTTTCTCAAAAAAATTTAATCCAACTGTTTTTTTTTAAATGAAAGTACCATAAACTCCCGAATCACTTAAATTTTTTTTCTCACACACACATGCTTTGACGTATTCTTTTGATTTTAAATAGTTCCCTTAATGGGTCCATCAATTTAAGAATGATAAAGTATTTTATGATGTAATTTAGTTATAAATATTTTTCCAAAGCCTCCTAAAATTTAGAACTAAATGGAGAATCTCTATCAGATACAATATTTAATAACATTATATGCATCATTACTATTTTTGAATATATAATTTGTCTAATGGATCAGTGTTTAAAAACTCGGCTGGCCATCGACCCGGCCAAGGTCAAGGGTCATGGGGTACCGGGGGTCACGGGGTCACTATGCTGACCCGGTTTTATATATTAAAAAAAATATAAATATATATATCTTATATGAAAAGAGGAAGATTATAGTTACAACTTTTTTTTTTACAATCTCTTACAACCATATCTTAACACCGTTGTTTTTCGCCAATCAACGGTTATCATTTATTATGAATTAATAATTAATTAATGAGTTTAATTTGCGAAAATCATAACCGTTGATTAGCGAAAATCAACGGTGTTAAGATATGGTTGTAAGAGGTTCTAAAAAAAAGGTTGTAAGTATAACCTACCTCATATGAAAATATTAAAAAACAAATCACCAATTATCAAATATTCAAAATATACTTAACATAATTCACCAATTACAACCATAAGTCAATATTACACAACCTAATTAAAGTATCAAGAAACCAAAGTACAAAACTCATATTCTAATGATACCAAAGTATCAAGATACCAGAAGTCTAGATCGCTGGGAGAGAAGGAAGGGAGAGAAGCTCCTTATATAGGGGGAAGGGAGGATGAAGGGATGAGAGATAGGCAATGTGGGACTTATTAGGAATAGTGATTTTTTCTCATTGTGGACAGCCATTTTCCGACCACCATATCTCACACCAGAGTGCTTAGATCAAAAATCTCTTCGGTCATATTGAAGTATCATATGCGAGGAACATGCCGACCAAATTTGAGGAAGATCGGGCGGTTCATTTGAGAGAAACGATCCCTGCAATATGGCTTCCCGACAAAACTAACAGACCAACTTTCAAAATTTATATCTGATGCTAGGAAGCCTGGTTCGAAAATTGGTCCGGCTAGATTGAAGTGTCATATAAGAAGAACACGCTGACCAAATTTTAGGACGATCGGACGGTTCGTTTGAGAGAAATGGTCCTCCCAAAAACGCTTCTTGCAGTAGAAATCGCTCGCGAAACCTGTTTCGGTTTTGAATTTTCTGGGAATGGTACAGGCCTCCAATCACAAATCCATCGTTGAATATGATGTGCAATGAGTCAAGATCTTGCTAAAAGATTTTTAGCTTAATCGGACGATGGATGAAGAATATATCGTGGTTGGAAGAGGTCCTACTCAAAGCTGTTACTTTTTCTGAAATGGTCCTCCTTCCCTTTTCCATTTTTTTCATTGCTCTCTTCCTTTTTTCCTTATTGAAGGACAAATCTCTTTTTTTATTTCTTTTTTCTTTTTCTTTTTTATGTTTTTATTATTTTTAAATATTTGGGACAAAATTGGGTGTTCACAGTCTCTAAATCTTAAGTGAAAAGATTATTCCCACCAATTCCAAAACATGGGCACAATAATATCTTCATTTGGTGCAAGTTGTCTAAATGCGTGAGCCATAACATTCATATCTTGAATCAATGCATACCCTAACCTTCTCTTTGAAGATCATTGTACACTTCAAACTTCCCAAATGGATTCAAATTACTAAAATAGGAGTGATAGTCAATATAATTTTTAAGTGTTGGAAACAATAATCACATTCCTTAGTCCACACAAAATTGTAAAAAATCATTTCAATCCAAAAGCTTAAGTTGTTAGATGAGACTAAATTAATGATTTTATATTTCTCTAACATGGCCCTCACACGAGAGCCCATTGAATGGTGGATGATGCATCAGGCCTAGCTTACTTGTACTAAGAAATTTCATAATATTTAATTATTTTTATTAATATAATGGCGGAGAAGAGGATCAAACTCATGATTACTTAATCACGTCGGCTCTGATATCATGTAAAGAACCATTTCAACCCAAAAACTTAAATTGTTGAGAGATGTTATATTAATGATTTTATATTTCTCTAACAAAAATGGATTTGATTTTCTTGTTAATTAGGTTAAGGGTATAACTAATTGAGAAAATCTTTTGATAAATCTCCTCTTATAAGGAGCTAATCCTAAGAAACTTTTAATTTAATAGTTATCTTTGATCTCTCTGGGATCTTGAGATATTCATCATTTGTATATCACACATCTTAAAATTTTCAAGTCTCTTAATCAAAATTCATACTTTTTTAATTTGGTATCAACTATTTCACAATCCTAAGACGTTGCTTATGTTCTTCAATCCTAGAATATATCATCATATGTTCAATGAATACCATTATAAATTGATCTGCATATGACTTAAAAATTTTATTCGTACAATCCATGAATATTGTAGGAGTATTTATAAGTTCAAAAGGCATCACTAAATAATCATCATGATCATATCTAATTCTAATTACAGACTTAACGATATCTACATATTTAATCATTGTATGATGATATCTTGATCTTAGGCTTATCTTGAAGAAAATTGTGCCTCCTCTCAATAGATGTAAAAAGTCATCTATTATATGCGAAAAGTATTTGTTCTTGATGGTTGATAACCCTATAGAGTAAAATTTTATCTAAATTATTTACTAAAAAAATGCATCTAAATTGGCCATGGATTAGTTGAGGTTCTAATAAGGAAAGCACACGTTGTTGTAGGTGCGTGAGAAGGATAACGAGGGCCTAAGTTTGATCTCCATTGGAATATGTGTTTGATACTTTGATTGCTTGTGTAATATTGACTTATAGATGTAATTGGTTAAATTATGTTAAGTATATTTTGAATCTTTGATGATTAGTGGTTTAATTTTTTTGAATTTTTCATATAGGATATATATTTATATTTTTTAATGTATAAAACCGGGTCAACGAAGTGATCCCATGACCCCCCTCCTCGATTGAACCTGTGACTCCGTAACTCCTGACCTCGGCCGAGTCGATAGCCGGGCTGGGCCAAATTTTTAAACACTGATTGTGATTAGTGGCAATACATGAGAAGTAGCCGTTAGGAAAGTTCACTGTATTATTATTATTATTAGGTAAAATCATTTTTGCAGCCTCTTTACGTACAACAACGACATGTGTATGGTTATGATTTCTCACATTTAATGCTTTCATCCTTTGTATGGTTATGATTTCTCGTATTTAATGCTTTCAAGTATATATATGGCAAGTATTTGATTGCTGCACGTACAACAACTGCAGAAATGTTAACCCCTTATTATTATTATTATTATTATTATTATTATTATTATTATTATAAGTTTAAGGCTTTTTTTTCTTGTCCTTAAATAAAAAGTTCTTGTGTAGCTTTCTACGTCCTCAAGTTTTCAAAAGCCTTCAATATATTTTGGGAAAACTTCAAAAACTTTCCTATGAGTTTTCTTAATTATCACTTACTCCTCTTACAAATTTTTTGAATCATTTACACATTTATTTAGATTTTTTTGTCACTTAGCCCCCTGATTTAAAGCTTTTTTATCACTTACCCTCTCACTTAGAGGGGTAAGTGATAAAAAAAACTTTAAGTCAGGGGTAAATGATTCAAGACTTTAGAGAGAGGATAAATGATTACGAGAAAAGTTATTGGGATTTTTTTGAAGTTTTCTCATATATTTTTTGGCTGGGTTTTGAAACCTTCAATGTAATTTGCACATACAATTTTTGCTGAGTTATTTATTTATTACCACAACACAACTTGTAATTCTTAAACCTTAAGAACAAAACTTTGATCCTAAACAAGAACATAACACAAATGAATTCAAAATTTACCTCATCCTTGTCATGTAACAATTGAGCATTAAAAATTTGGAGCTCATACATTATATATTTAAAAGCTACTCTTTATACATAAAGAGCTTGTACTTATAAAGACTTCGGTTCAATCCATGAATGGCTGCACAGGCCGCAGCTAATGACACGAGCATAAATAAAAGGTTCAAGGTTTGAAGTCCAATCCATTGGATTGTTCGTTTCCTGATCTTCTGTTTGGCAATGAACATCTCCACAGGAAAATATATCACTAGGGGCCAGAATCCCATGGCCCCAAGAAAGGCTAGCATTTCATTGAAAAAGGGCATTGCCATGGCCAGAACAGTCATAACCATGACAAATATGGTCCTCCAAATGAGCCTAAAGAAATTAAAGCTAAATCTCATTTTGCCAATGCTCATTGGGTACTCCTCCATTACAAAACTTGATCCTGACCACCTTTGACCAGCCAACATTTCAACTACACCGAAAATAGGTTGGGTGACTACCTGCATGCATAATTTATTCAAGATCAATGGCTATATCATTGTGATATTAAGATAAACAAACAAATATAGTATAATTAAATGCAAAATCTATTATGTTTGGAATTATTAGAAAATAGAATTGATTTTATTTCATTTCATTTTGAAATGAATTATCTTGTATCATACTTGGTTAAATTCATGAGTTGCAAGTAGAATAGCATTTGATAAAACCAGGCAAGGTCCATGTTAATAATCACAAGTACTATAAAAAAATATTATTAAAAAAATTAAGACGAAAGTATTTTTTTTATTTTATAATTTTTTTTAAAAAAAAATTTATAAATTAAATTAATTCCTATTTGCTTATTACAAATATACTCTACATGATTGTGGATAAAAGGTTCAAGTACATCACAGGTTGAGCATGATACAAAGAATTTAAAGGCAATGTGTCAAAACCTGATATGCTCCAACGAGGTGCACAACAATGAAGACGTTGGCTAAGTCAATAAGCCAAAAAGGTTCTTTAAACCCAGAGCTCATTAGAATGCTGCCAGGAGTGTCTGAGCCAAATGAAGCATAGCCAGAGCAGGCACATAAGAGGAAGATAATTGTCATGGTGAATATTCCTATCTTGTTTGCTATCTTCATCACTTTATTTTCTGGCGGTGATGACTTTAAAGAGTCCTATTTTTCATACCACGCCACTATAACAATTTTAATGTAAGGACACACCATATCTCATTTTCAAGAGAGTGCAAATGTATTAGCAGATAAATACAATCACTGATACTGAAAATGTTCCTTAACTTCATTTGAAGTTTTATTTTGTTTCAAATTTATACTAAGAGTAAGAGGAACCATATCTCAGCTTACATAATTAAGAGATTAAACATTTAAAAAAAGGGTCCCATGTTTTATAAGTACGAAATTGGAAAAGTGAAACTTTGTGCTATGGAAACTAAAAAGGCCTTATTTACAGTTTATTCATACCTGGATATCTATCGCAATTTGAGCATAGCTGCTAGCAAGTGCAATGTTTCCCAGTGCAACGAGCATATTCCATAACTTGTCTACTGAACTTTGCTCCTTGCTTCCTCCAATTATAGAGGTACTTCTTCCTTTCCCTGTTTTAATCCATGTTTTCCAAATGTAAATCCTCATTAACATTAACAAAATATATTTCAGCAAAATAGTAATTAAAAAAACAAAGAAAGAAAATAGAAGCTCTGTTTTGTTTATTTACTTGTTGAATGTGCCATGTGTGTACCCCTGAATGTGGGGAAAAAGTGAATGACTTGTGATGAGATTGTGTGAGATCTATGATGAACTTTATCCGTGCTCATATAATATTCAAATTCATATAGAACTCAAAAATGACTGAGAAAGGTGTGGAAATTATTAACCTTGGATGATTGTAGCAAGAGAAAGTCCAATACCAATAAATGCATAACCAAAAGACATGGCCGCTGCTAAGATTGAGAGCCAAGATAGCTTATGAAAATTGCGGATTTGGGACAAAAATATTTCAACAATTCCAAAACCAATCGTGTATGGATTGTTCGAAAATTGGCATGGAGCTGCAATTCCCTTTTTGTGGAAGCAATTGATTTTTCGTATTGCCCTGAAATATGCAACATTTTGCAACAAATCAGTTTGGAATAATGCTAACTTCACGATAATTAAAGTCACCAAAAATTGAATTATTTTTACAGATTCCAATCCAAGAAACTGTCTCTTTGCAAATATGCAAGGCAAAACTGCGTATAAGGATTATCCTTATCCCTACTCTCGTTAGTCGAGATTTAATGGAGAATGATTTTTTTTTTTTTTTAGTACAATTGATGACCATCTAAACCTGCATAGAGCAGTTGTAAGGTTTTGTGTCTCTGCTGTTGTATCATAAAATATCAAATATAGCTGATGTAAAGTTGTTTTGTTTCTTACAATAATAGGTAAAAAAATTATTACGATTAAACATATAATTTTCATCTAGCGTAACCATATCTTCTACATCAACTTAACTCTTTTTCTAATATATCCCTATCTATTAAATTAAAAAACAGGTGCCGTGTTGGGATACTCACTACACTAGTGTTGTATATGGTCACATGCTATGAAAGTGAAAGAGCATAAAACAACTTACACCACGCTTATAGATGTAGTTATCGTGTATCCAATTGCAGCCCCACTAAGGTTGACGTATTGGACCAATCCACATACCACATGCATTTTACCACCTATCAAAAGAAACACATGCGTACACAAATAATTAGGATTCAACTTGAATGTGAAATCAAGTAGAAGTGGCATGACATGAGACGTGAGATTTGGCGTTTAGCTAAGTACCTAAGTTGGTTTTCACAGCCTCCATGTAGGTGCAGTTCCTCTTGCCAGTGACAGGGTCTGGTGATCTATAACAATCAGCTAGAAGATTGGAAGTATAGAGAGTGACACAAGATACGACCAAAACAGAGAATACACCAATAATCCATCCCAACTGAGCCATGGCCCAAGGCAGAGATAGCACACCAGCACCAATCACTGTTGTTATTATATGTGCACTTGCAGTCCATGCTGTCCCTGTTTGTGTTAAATATAATATAAATTTGTAAGCCATAGGGGAAAATGTTTTTATTGCGAAAGAGGACCATAATTATCAAATGGGAAATAGAAATGTCCCGTTACATAACATAATTTTCACTCGAAAAAGTGTGAGATCCACTTTATTTTTATTTTTTTTCTTTTCTATACAGTAAAACCCACAATATTTATGTGTCTATAACATTATATTCATAACACCCTTAAAAAAATATGTCATTTTGGAATTTGAGGAACTAATGTAGGATATTTTAAAATTTTATTTCTCTTTTGTTATACGCTTTTTTTTCAAAACATTTTTATTTTATTTTAAAATGACATTGTTTTGGAAATATAAAGATAATTTTATTTCTATGAATTCGATAAGGGAAAAGTGTTTATCTTTTTAAATGACATAATTTATATCATTTCATTGTCACAAAGAGGTGGGACCCACACCTTTACTTTTTTTGTCAACACTCTCTTCTCATTTATCTATCTTTTTCTCTATCTTAAAATGACACAATTTTACATCCTTTAAAGTGACACATACTTTTCCCATTCGATAAACATTAAGTCCTAAAACAAAATATAATAAAAATTATTACTTATAAATTTTTAGGAGAATTAATTCGGAATTACTTGTTTATGATGAAAACGAGAGTAATCAGTAATCACTACTCACAACCATAATTTTTCGTTTCATCGATTGAAATTTCTAATGCACTCCGATCAAACTTTCGATTTTCTTACACATTGTATAATTTACTGAAGAACGCGCTCATCTAAGGACCATTTTTCGGTGAAGATGTATTTGAGTTAGCTTTTGCGTTAAATGATATAGAAAAATAATTTCTCTAATTGTTGGCCAATGATTTGAACCTAAATATTCAAAATAAAGATTATATTTCATTATGAATATTAGTTCAAACCCTTCATATGAGATTATGGAATAAAAATGGGCAAAGCTCCTGATTTTACCCAAATTCAAAAATGGATTTTTTTTTAAAATGCCCTCTTCCCTAATGAAATAAACTTATCTTTAATGTATAAAACTTTTAGTGCCAATTGCACAATTACTTGAATTTAACTCAAATAAATAAATAGATAACTAGTTTCTATCTTAATTGGCACCAAATCAATCTTCTATTAGTCATTCTTACCCTTCTTCTTTTTTTGGTAAACATACTTACCCTTCTTTAAGTACCTATATGATTGCATCTCCTATTGAAATATGTTATATTATAATACTATCATAAAAATATTTTTTAGAATTGTTTCTACTATAGCCAATAATAATATGCTTTTTTTATTATTTTGGGATGATTAAACGCAATATATAATTATCATCTTAAACTCTTGAGCCGTAACTCATTCCGGTAGTTCTTTTTCTTGGTTATAGATTAGAGGTAAGATTCTTTGACACCAGTGTCAAATTTAAATTTTGATATCTCATCTGAGAGCCATTAGATCAAAAAAGATCAACGACTCTGATTTGTAAGCATGTGACATCATTGATCTTTTTTTATCTAATGGCTCTCAGATGAGTTGTCAAATTTCAAATTTGACATTAGTGTCAAAAGATCCTACCTCTATAGATTAATACATGTTTGTTTTGTAACGACTACAAAAATAATTTTTTTTTAAAAAAAATATTTCAAGAAGTTTTTAATTGAATTTTTTTTAACATAAAATAAAATATTTCAAACACATTACGTTTAAGATTTAATTTTTGCATAAAATTATTTATATTATCAGTTAATTACACTTTATTATATTGATAAAAGAGCTTGATCTATCAAAGAACATTAGATCTATATTAAATTGTAAAAATAAAAAAATTAATTCTAATTACCAGTTTTTTTTTTTTGGTAATCGTCAACCAAAAAGTGAATGTTTATCCTTCTTGACCTATACTCAGATATGATGTGCAAAATGTCCAAAAGAACCAAACCGATCTATAACCAAGCCGCTCCCCATTTTAAAAATTGGTTATTTTTAAAAATCGGTTTCATATGAAACTGCATTTTATTTTATAAACTGGTTATTTACCAAACTATAAAAATAATTGGTTATCCATAACCAAACTATTTTACAATTAAAGAACAAATAAGTATTATCTTTTATCCTTAGCATTAAGATGTGAAAATTACATAAGTATAAATCATTTTTAAATGTGACATTATTAGAAAAGTCTCAAATACTAACAGAATTTATCAAAGAAAAATATTTCGTCGAAAATTTGACAAAAATCATATTACGTAAAAAATAGAGACGAAATTTTTTTCGTTAAAACTAGAGACGGAACAAGATTTTGTCATAATCACTGACATAAATTTTTTAGGGCCAAAATATTTCAGTCAAAATTCTTGATAGAATCTAAATTCCGTCGAAACTTTCAACAGAAACAATTCTGTCAAACTTTTCAACGAAAAATAATTCTGTAAAAAATTTTGACGAAACACATTTCCATAAAAAAAATTGACAAAAAATAATTTCGTCAAATTTTTTTACAAAAAATATGCCCGTCCAAATTTTCGACGAAAAATATTTCCAGCAAAATTTTCAACAAAACGCATTTACAGCGAAAAATTTTGACCAAAAATATTTACGTAAAAAAATTTGACGAAAAATATTTTCAGCAAAATTTTCAACAAAACGCATTTACAGCGTTAATTTTGACCAAAAATATTTACGTAAAAATATTTTCAGCAAAATTTTCAACAAAACACATTTACAGCGAAAATTTTGACCAAAAATATTTACGTAAAAAATTTTGACGAAAAATATTTCAGAAAAATTTTTTGACGAAATTATTTTTTGTCAAAGCTCTTTACGAAATCTAAATTCCCTCCAATCATTTCCCTCAAATTTTTTGACGAAAAATATTTTTATAAAGCATTTTGACGAAAAACATTTTTGTCAAAATTTTTATCGAAATATTGTTCGTCAACGAAAATTTTTCATAGAAATGTGTTTCGTTGAAAAATATTGATGGAAATGTTTTTTATCAAAAAACTTGACGGAAATATTTTTCGTCGAAAATTTTCGTTGGAAATGTGTTTCGTTAAAAATTTTGACGGAAATTTTTTTGTCAAAAAGTTTAACGAAAATGTTTTTGTCGAAAACTTTTGACGGAATTTGAATTCTATAAAGAATTTTGATGGAAATGTTTTCTATAAAAATAACGTGAAACAATTTCCTTAGAGTTCCAAAACAATGAAGATTCTTGAGAGTAATAGTTGGTCAACTACCTATAACCGGGAGAAACAAATAACTACTTATAAAAATAGCACAATCCATCAAAAATCGATTTTGAATTTGTTAAAAAATCGGTTTTGAACTTGATAACCGGTTTATGGTTCATTACCGATTTTGATTTAAAATCGGTTTTGAATTAAAACCTGTTTAAAACTGGTTTTAAATCAAAACTGGTTATGAACCATAAACCGGTTTTGAAACCGGTTTGGATAATAAAATCCGGTTTTTTAAAAAAAAAACCGGTTCGGTTTGAAAACCAAACCATTTCAAACCGGTTTGATTTGAATTTTTTCAAAACTGATTATGAACCGCTCCATGCACATCCCTACTCAGATTTAAGTAAAATATAAGGCTAAAAATACGACCATATTATATACCTTATTTGTAAAATTAGAATATTTTTATTCAAAAATACTTAATTTCTTAATTAAAAGATAAAATTTAAATTGTGTATGTAAAGTAATTTTATATATATGTGTCTGTGTGTTTACTCCCATTCAATTTTAAATATCTTTGTACATATCATTTTTTGTAATATAGTTATGAAACTCTTGATTTTAGAAAGTCAGTTTATAAGATCGATTCGGCCCATTTGGATGAGCTTTTTTTCTTCTTCAAAAGCTGCTTTTTTTCAATAAAAAAGCACTTCTCGTTTTTAGTTTGTTTGGATGTCTGCTTTAAAAAAAATAGAAGTTACAAAAAAAGTCAAAAATTTACTTTTTCCAGAAGCTAAAACTTTTAACTTCTAAGAAAAGCAAAAGTCAAAAGTCAAATATTTTTTTAAAATTTAAATATTTTATAAAAATATAAATAACTTAACTTTTATAAAAAAACACTTTTAAAATAAGGAAGAGAAAAGTTACTTTTTTGATAACCTCAAACAAACGGACTCTGTACTATTGCGGGTAAAAGGATTTCAATTGCTTTTATTTTTTTTCATTCACAAAACTCTAATTTGTTACAACTCAAATTTATGAAAAGGATCCAAATCGAAACGAAACTCTCTGATATTTGGGTTTTTTATATTGTGAAAGAGATAAGGATACATAGACGCGTACGGCCATGGACAAAAGCAAATGGCAAATACAATGCATCTAATTAACAAGTAGCAATGAACACGAAACCAGGTCACGTTTTAACTCGAAGGTCTCCAATTCCTAGTTATATATATAGCTGTTAGGAGAAGATCACCTTTGATCTTATCCTTTAGCAACTAAGTCCTAGTTTTTAGCAAGAATAGTTTGTTATTATTCCATGTATAGTTTGTTGAACAGTATACTTTATTCTAGTTGATCCTCCTTGATTCTGTATAACCGACTTGTATATATATTGGCTATCAGCCATTTCATTAAATATAACAACATATTCAAATCCTCTTAGTTTTCTATATGGTATCAGTTTGAAGGTATCGATCCACTTTCCCAATGGCTGATTCTGATTCAGATTCTTCCGCTGTCAATATCAATGCTAATGACAAGCGTCCCAACCCATTCAATTTTTCTGCATCACAAACAGCAGCTGCAACACCTATAGTGTCCAACCAAAACTCGATTCCCAACCTGAGTCCTGAGCTTCTACAGCAAATTGCCAACATGGTTGTTTCCTCCACTACACCGTCTGCTAACACTACATCCCTTTCTGGTAATCACACTCTGCCTTCTACCTGGTTGGTGGATAGTGGCGCTTCTCAACACATGACAGGGAACCTCCATTTAATCTCCAATGTTACATCTATTCCACCCACTACAATAGGTTTACCTGATGGTGATCAACTTGTTTCCAATCACAGTGGCAGTCTTAAGTTGACATCTCATATTTCTCTTCAGAATGTGTTATATGTTCCCAAATTACAATGCAACCTCATATCAGTTGCTCAATTACTTGCTGATACAAATTGCATCATTTCTTTTACTCACAATGGCTGTGAATTGCAGGACCCCATAACGAGGATCAAGACTGGACTGGGTAGATTGCAAGCTGGTGTTTATGTGCATGACTCATCCAACAACAAATCCATCTCTACTGCATGTGCGGCTCACACTCAACAGAATGCAGATGTTTGGCACCGTCGATTGGGTCACCCTTCATTTCAGTTTTTAAGCTTTCTTCCTTTTGTTACAGTGAATAAAAATAGGGGTCATTCTCCTTCAGTTTGTGACATTTGCCTACGCGCACAACAAACTCGTACTGTATTCCCTATTAGCATTAATAAAACTACTGCATGCTTTGATCTTATTCACTGCGATATCTGGGGTCCATATCAAACTACCTCTCTAACCGGTGCAAGATATTTTTTAACAATTGTGGATGATTATAGCAGAAACGTCTGGGTTTATTTAATGACCACCAAGTCTGAAACGTTCCAATACATAACTCGATTTCTTCTCATGGTACGTAATCAGTTTAATACCATGGTCAAAATAATACACTCCGACAATGGATCAGAATTTTGTGCTCATAATCTCCGCAAGGTTTATTCCGATATGGGAATTATACATCAAACATCATGTGTAGACACACCACAGCAGAATGGTCGTGTTGAACGGAAACATAGACATATTTTGAATGTTGCAAGAGCATTACGCTTTCAAGCTAGTCTTCCTATCGAGTTTTGGGGTGAATGTGTTCTAACTGCGGTACATTTAATCAATAGAACCCCCACTCCTCTTCTCCAAGGAAAAACACCATATGAATGTCTTTTCAACCGCACACCCAGCTATGATCATATTCGCATATTCGGATGTCTTTGCCATGCTCATCCACGTCCCAAACCGTTGGACAAGTTTGCAGCTCGATCAACTCGGTGTCTGTTCCTGGGATATCCTTTTGGCAAAAAGGGTTGGAGGCTTTATAACCTTGAAACACATACTGTTTTTGTATCCAAAGACATGGTATTTGAAGAGAACACCTTTCCTTTTGCACCAACCACAGTCATTCCTACCACTGATATTCCTCACGACCCAAACCCCCATAACCCCATATCACCCGAACCAACCCTTGCTCCACAAAGCCCATCCTTTGATTCCCAAGTTGTTACCAACCCTGTCCCTTTAATTGAAGACACTCTCCCTGTTGAACAGGCTCAGCCCGAATCTGCCCCTACTGTCTCCAATGAGCTTTCTATCCGACAAGAACAGCCCCCAGAAGTCACACATCCATCTGCACCTTTGGGACGTGGTCACCGTTCTCGCCGTCCTCCATCATATCTCCAAGATTTCAAATGCTCCAAAGTCATCGCACATAATCCACTAGCTTCTTCTACTTCTTCCAGTCCTTCCTCAGGTATGGCTTATCCTATTGCTAACTTTGTTTCTTGTTCTAGATTCTCTCCCAAACATCAACAATTCCTTGCTGCCATTTCTTCTGGTGTTGAACCAAAAACATTCAAGGATGCTGTAACTGATGAAAGGTGGCGTGTAGCAATGCGAAAAGAAATAGATGCCCTTGAACAAAATCACACGTGGGAACTCACTTCTTTGCCACCAAGAAAACGTGTCATTCCATGCAAGTGGGTATACCGCATTAAGTACAACTCAAATGGTACAGTGGAGAGATTCAAAGCACGGTTGGTCATTGCCGGTAACAATCAAATAGCTGGAGAAGAATACTTCGATACATATGCTCCTGTAGCCAAAATGGTGAGTGTCCGAACACTTCTTGCGGTAGCTGCTGCCAAATCATGGCACCTATACCAGTTGGATGTTACGAATGCCTTTCTACACGGAGACCTTACCGAAGAAGTTTACATGCGCGTTCCACAAGGTTTCAATCATCACAAACCACATCAAGTATGTCGCTTACGTAAATCTCTCTACGGTTTGCGGCAGTCCCCTCGCAATTGGTTTGCTAAGTTGCGGTCTTCCATTGAATCATATGGCTTCATCCAATCCAAGGCAGATTACACCCTATTCACCTTACACAAAGATGGCCACTTTGTTGCTCTTCTCATCTACGTTGATGACATTATTCTAACGGGCGACAATGATGCCTTATGCACCGATGTCAAGGTCTTTCTCCAGTCATGCTTTCACATCAAGGATTTGGGGATTCTTAAATATTTTCTTGGCATCGAAATAGCTCACGGTCCATCAGGTCTTTTTCTGAGCCAACGAAAGTACGCTCTCGACATATTGGAAGACGCTGGTCTCCTTGCGTGCAAACCATGTGCCTTCCCTCTCGAAACAAATCATAAGCTTGCAGTTACAGAAAGTCCTCCATTCTCGGATCCCGCACGTTACAGAAGACTCGTAGGACGTTTGGTTTACTTGACAATTACTAGACCTGAGTTAAGTTACTCCGTCCATGTTCTTTCCCAGTTCATGCAAAATCCTACTATTGCTCAATATGATGCTGTCATCCGCGTTTTAAGGTACATCAAAACTGATCCTGGCCAAGGTTTACTCCTTCGATCCGACAATGATCTCCTTCTTCGTGGATATTCTGATTCGGATTGGGCTAGCTGTCCACTCACCCGTCGATCAGTTACTGGTTATTTTATCATGTTGGGTACTTCTCCTATCTCTTGGAAAACAAAGAAGCAACCCACAGTGTCTCGCTCCTCCGCTGAAGCTGAGTATCGTTCAATGGCAGCAGCTACAGCTGAGTTGTTATGGATCAAATCGTTTCTGGACTCGCTTGATGTTCTACATTCACACCCTATGCAGTTGCACTGTGATAACCAATCTGCCATGCAAATAGCTGCTAATCCAGTTTTCCACGAACGTACCAAACATATAGAGATTGATTGTCATTTTGTACGCGATCATGTTCTCAGCAATACAATCACTACTACCTACGTTCGTACAGATCAGCAACTCGCAGACATATTTACCAAACCGCTTGGCATGAAGCAATTCAGTTTTCTTCGCAGCAAGTTGGGCATTTCGTCACTTCATACTCCAACTTGAGGGGGCGTGTTAGGAGAAGATCACCTTTGATCTTATCCTTTAGCAACTAAGTCCTAGTTTTTAGCAAGAATAGTTTTTTATTATTCCATGTATAGTTTGTTGAACAGTATACTTTATTCTAGTTGATCCTCCTTGATTCTGTATAACCGACTTGTGTATATATTGGCTATCAGCCATTTCATTAAATATAACAACATATTCAAATCCTCTTAGTTTTCTATAATAGCTACTCCCTCACTAGACAACTAAGACCACAAATTGAAGTTTCTTAATTTTCCAAATTGGAAAACTCAGAGGAATAATGAAAGAATTAATGTCATACCTGTTCTTTTTGGTTTGCCATCATCATCAAGAAGAGCACCCTCATTTGCAATTACTCTCGATTCAACACCCTCCTCCATCTCCATCTCAAGCTCAATCTCCTTCCTCAATTACTGCTCTTTAATGTTGAAACTCTTTGCAATGAACGAAGATCGCTTCCAAATCTGGAGCACGTGTGTAAATGCAAATTTGGAATATTTTTGGTTGAACGAATAAAAAGTACAAATCAATCGATTTAATAATATATAAAAAGGGAATTCTGACACGTGATACTTCACTGTTTGACATTGTCCAACTCAATATTACTTACTGGAACTGTTCGAGATTTTCAAGCATCATTAATTTAGTATATTTTTTGGGAAAATTTAGGGATTAAATATATTAATACCAGAATTATATTTCAATTACTGGAAAAACTTGTTAGAGAATATTATAATTACACGTTTGTTAGCAAAAAAAAAAGAAAAAGTTTCTCGGGTAAATTTTTTCCCCAATTATTGTTGTTGTGTATAAAGATATGTACGACAACCGTAGCAGAAAGTTCATGCATTAGGTGAAATTGTTTTTTTCCTGGGGAAGTGAAAATGAGACTGTGATTATTTGGACCAAATTAACCTTAATTTTTTGTACGATATGTGCACAAATGGAGTTCGTGAATTGACCTGGTACCAAATGACAGCAATTGCTCGTTATACTTTTTGAATCAAAAAATAAAGGTGGGATTATTTTTGTAAAATAATCCCTACGTTCCTACTAAGAGAAATGTTATATTTACAAAATTTTTGTTTATAAACTATACTATGTACCTTCGGAAGTACACAAGGTTACATGTGTACTTATGGGAGTACATAGTGTAATTTGCAAAAAATTATAAATTTTTTTTTGTAAATAGATCCTTTTTCTCCTACTAATATTTCATAATCAACCAAACACCAACTCAGTAAACTTAATCAAATAATCTTAGGAAAATTTTGGGACTTTTTAACCCTTTTGCCCTTCATTAATTAATTCATAACCATTTTATCCCTTACCCAAAACTACCCACCAATCTGCCCCTCTTTATTCGAGTAACTTGAATATTTAATTGATTAAATGGTCAAAACAAGCAAAAATGATTGACTCGAGATTTAATCGATTAAATATCCATCTTTAATCGATTAAGATGGATATTTAATCGATTAAATATCCCAAATGAGCGTGAAAGCATTGATTGAATGAGACAAACAAGGAAAACTCGCTGCTTCACTGCGTAGTGAGAACCAATCTTTGTTCATTAACGCAGCTCTTATCATTGATTTGCTGCTTAATATTGCTACTTTCTGAAGAGTTTTGTGCTCAATTTTGCAAAAATTCTTCAGCATGTGACGAGTTTTGGCTTCCAACTTAGAAATTCATCCATTTGGAAGTATGGACTTCAGCTCCAATACACAGTCACCACAATCCCTCATTTCTTTTGGAGCACATCTAATACTTCCATCACTGTTAGCATTACAATCAGTATATATATCAATATTACCCTTTGAAGTCCCTAAATCACAATATACTGGTTGAGGATGACCACCATGCATGTACTAACTGCCCTTATTAACATATTCAAACTTCAGTTCAGGCCGGGGTGAAATACTTCCATTTCGTATTTCTTCACAGCAAGACAGATTTCAAACGAACACTTGGGGCAGCCAAAACTTAATCATTAGAGTAAACTAAACCTTAATCATCCCCTTTGAACGCAGCGAGTTTTTCTTGTTTGTCTCATTCAATCAATGCTTTCACGTTCATTTGGGATATTTAAATGATTAAATATAAGTTTTAATTGATTAAATATTCAAGTTAATCGATTAAAGAGAGAGATTTAATCGATTAAATCTCGAGTCAACTATTTTTGCCTATTTTGACCATTTAATCGATTAAATATTCATGTTAATCGATTAAAGAGGGACAGGTTGGTAGATAGTTTTGGGTAAGGGACAAAATGGTTATTAATTAATTAATGAGGGGCAAATGGGTCAAAAAGTCAAAATGTTGGCCTACCAAACACCTTTTTATAACTTATCTGGGGAAAAAAAATCCCACCATATTCTCAGAAATCTTTTTTCCCGATAAAAAAAAATTCTCCTGTACCAAACGCCCCCTAAGACATTTATAAATCGCCTAAGATAATTGTTATGTAATATTATTAAAGCGAGTTGAACTTGGAGGACACTTACGATGATTTGAATAGAAGATTTGTGTGCAGAATTAATACACATGAAGTTAAGGAGGCTTTAAAGATGATGAAGACTAATAAAGCTTTGGGACCTGATGGTGTCCCTACTGAAGTGTGGAGAGGCCTGGGGGATGTGGCAATAAAATGGTTCCAATCTTTTCAATAAGATGTCTAGTGCATGGAGGACAAATATGCTAGTGCCTATTTACAAAAATAAGAAAGATATTCAGAATTGTTCTAACTATAGAGGCATTAAGTTAATGAGTCATACTATGAATACGTGGAAGAGAGTTATTGAATATCGCTTAAGGAGAGATACTAAGATTTCTATAAATCAATTTGAATTTACGCTAGGAAAATGTACCATGGAAGCCATTTTCTTGATGCGATAATTAATGAAAAGATATCGAGAAAAGAAAAAGGACTTACATATGGTGTTCATAGATCATAAGAAAGCATACAATGGGGTCCCAAGAAAAGTTTTATGGTTTGAGAAGAAAAAAGTACCATCAAAGTATGTAAAGGCAATCAATGACATATATGAAAGCTTGTAATGGAGCATCAAGTTATTTTCCTATGCGGTAGGTGTACACCAAGGTTCGGCTCTAAGTCTTTATGTCTTTGCATTAGTTATGGATGAACTAATAAAACATATTCAAGAGGAAGTACCATAGTGTATGTTTTTTGCAGATGATATTGTGTTTATTGATGGGACCAAAGACGGTGTTAATAGACAACTTGGATTATGGAGAAGCACGTTGAAGTCTAAAATATTCACGTTAAGCCGGAGCAAGACTGAGTATATAAAGTATGAGTTTTCTCTGGTAAGAGATGTAAACCAATATCCCATGCGTCTACTTGGTCAAGAGGTATCCAAAAAATATGCTTTTAGATACTTGAGATCAAATTTGCAAAAAGGTAAAGAGATTGATGAGGATGTAAATCATAGAATCAGAGCAGGGTGGATGAAACGACGTAGGGCAACTGGGTTTTTGTGTGACTGCAAAATTCCTCTTAAGCTAAAAGAAAAATTCTATAGAACAGCAATAATACATGCAATGTTATATGGAGCTGAATGTTGGCCAACACATCAGCAACATAAGCATAAAGTGAGAGTAGTAGAAATGAGGCTGTTAAGGTAGATGTCTGGTTATACGAGGATGGATAAGATAAAAAATGGAGATATTCGACGAAGCGTAGGAATAGTCCGGTGGCTGGAAAGATAAGAGAACATAGATTGAAGTGTTTGGGCATATAATGAGAAGGCCCATGGATACTCCCGTAAGAACAAAAACTTGTTACCAAGAGCTCGACACAAAGAAAGGTAGAGGTAGATCGAAACTTAGTTAGGGGAAGATAGTAAAAAAGACTTGATAGAGTGGGTGGGATATAGATTGACAGACAGTAAGCCTTAGAACAGAATAGAGAAAAGCTATAAGCATGATGGAGTGTTAGACTCGTTGTTATTCCTATGTTCCATATGGTCTCTTTTTAGTCATTTCCCTCTTCATCTCCCCCTTTTTTTCTTTTCCCCTTCCCTATCTTTTTTTATTTTTTATCTTTTTTATTTTTATCTTTTTTTAATCACTTTGTATCTTTCATTTGAGTTGATCTATCATCGACCTCAATTAGTTTGGGATAAATATATTGTTGATATTGATGTTATTCACATTTTTTAACTCATACTTTTGCCAAGTTTTTTCTTTCAATTTACTCACCATAAATTAAAAAAGGGAAAAGTATTTGTCATTTTAAATGACATAAAGTTATGTCATTTTAAGAGAGAAATAGACACAACATAATTTTTTTTATTTAAATTTTAAATTAAAAAAAATCACCCACTTTCTCTCTCTCATGACATGTAATTTAGGACAAGGTTGAAAAATCAAGGTTCAAAATTACATTCAAATGAAAATGGGGTCTTTGAGATGGACTTGTGTTGAATATGAGCTTCAGCGGATTATTCCATGCTCCTCTTTTTTTATCTTCTTTTTCTTTCTTTCTATCAAGCTTAGTTAATAATGTTGAGTACCCATTACTCTTTAGACTCCACAATTTTCTGTCTCTTTATGGGCTTTGTTTTATTTTATGGTAGCTTAACTGTAAATAAGAAGTGTCTTACTTTTGCCTTTCATTTTAATGGAGGTAGCTCCTGCAAAAAGGGCTTTCAGATCTCCAATAAAAAATTGTGACAAAGTGAAGAAGATCAACTAAAGCTTTTTTTTTAAAGGCTAGTTTTGATATTTTATAAAAAAAAGTAACACTGTTAATTATAATTTTGGATGAAAAATCAAGTCAAAAGATAAATGATAAATCAACTTTAAGCAAGGGGGTAAATAATTAAAAAATTTAGGGAGGGGTAAATGATTATGAGAAAACTTATAGGGTTTGTTTTAAGGGGAAAGATATACTTACTACTAAAAATATTTACTACCTTTATAACTAACTTAATCAACATTGATTTCTGTCAATCTAACGGTTATAATTTATTGAAAATTATTTGGTCATTTATTAATTAATTATTAATTTTCAATAAATTCAATAATTATAACCATTACATTAACGAAAATCAATGATGATTACGTTAATTGTAAAGGTGGTAAATTTTTTTGGTGATAAGTATATCCTGCCCCTTGTTTTGAAGTTGAGATAAGTTATATTACTATTTTTTTTCTGCTTATCTTTGCCTAAATATTAATTAAGATTCTGATCTAATAGTTTTTTTTGTAAAGTGATAGACAAAGATAAGCACCAAAAAAAATTATCCCTTTTAAATTTTTCCTAAAATCAAACCATGGAATATAGTTTGATGGGGCTTGACTTCTTTCTTCGGATAAGTTGAATGAGAACTGTGGCATACGGAGGGAAAAGGTAATAACAAGTGGAAATTGTTGGTGAAGGAAATTGCAGATTGAGATTCACATTGAGAATCCTTCCAATGAAAACACAAAACCTAAGAATAAAAACACAAAGCGGCCATAATTAGTTTAGCTTTGTGCTACAAACTTTCTTTCATTTCCATTTTCGAATCCTCTGGCTTCTGACAAAACCAAAACCCCAGCACTTGAAAATGGAAGAAGACGAGAGAAGAATCCTCGAGAGGGAGATGTACCAAATCGAGCAGATTCGCCAGCTCGATCTAGAGGAGTTGCAGATCGAAGAGGTCGATGATCTCTCTTCTGACGACGACCGTAACCCTACGTAATTTACCGTCTTTCTCTTCGTCAACCTATGCTTTTGTCGATCTTCCGGTGTTTAATTCAATTTCCCTGTCATTCTTTTCGATTTTGATGAATTACACTTTGTGCTATATTGCACACTACAAAATAGTGTTTGAGTGCTATATCGTCCTAATAGACCAATTTGAGTTTTTTTTGTTCTGTAGCACTGACAGTTTTCTGTCCATGCTGTTTGGAATGCACTAGTGGTGGCTATGGCGGCGTGATCTTAATCGGTGAAATTACTTACGATACCTGTATGCCATCCTTACATACTTATCTGGGTGGTAGGCATTTTTTTGTATATGCTCATTTTCTACGGTACATTGATTTCCAACTGGATTGTTTGATGTTACACGATATTAATTGCATGTCTAGATTCTGAAGAGAAACACCACAGGGCAGCTTTCTTGGATGGTGGTGCTGTATTGAACCTTCCTCTTTTCTGCCTGGACGGTATCTATGTCATCTCCTTCGTGGATTTTAGTATGGTGTTTTTTGGTTTTTCTATCTCTTAAAATTTGATTAACGAGACTGATACCTTGGTGGTTTTGCATTGTTGTGGTCCTGCTTTTATAGACATGCAGTTAGAAATTAGTGAAAAATATTGAGAAACTCTTATTTAGGAAGGGAAACATATAAACATAGACTAATCCTTGTAATATTCAGGAGTTGTACTCTTTCCTGGGGCTACTCTTCCCCTGAGAGTTATTGGATCCAATTTTGTGGCTGCTATTGAGAGAGCTTTGAATCAAGTCAACGTTCCTTACACCATTGCTGTGGTAGGTGAACTTGTTATGACAACTGCTCATGATTAATCATGCCTTGGAGTATCTTCTAGTTTTTATTATAATACATGGATATGATATGCTTGAACATGCTCCTTCCAGATTCAAGTTCGCGGTGATCCTGCAAATCATAGGATGAACTCAGCAGGCACTGGGACAACTGCAGAGGTATTTCCTCTGAATTGATGTGCTATTTATAACAAACTCATATTGAATTATTTACACTTGCATTTGTACATCTATGTGCCCGCATTAACTAACAAACTCATATTGAATTATTTACAGTTGCATTTGTACATCTATGTGCCCGCATTAACTAGGGGTGTAAATGGGTTAGAAGGCCTATCAGGGGCCTACAACCTGGCCTGATCTTTATGAACATTGTCATGTGATCTTTATGTACATTATTTCATGTGTTGTTAATGAAAATATTATTTCATATGATCTTTGTGAATAAGAAATTTTATATTTTAGTTTGGTTTGGGCCTATAAACTTTAGTTTGCAACTTGGTAGGCCTTACAGGCCATGTTAGGCTTTTTAGTTTTTTATAATAGGACAGGCCCGACCAATAAATCAAGCCTTTAATAGGCTAATAGGCTAGTATAGAATCTAAATGTTTTTTTATATAGGCTTAGGCTATCAAAGCCAAAGTCTGGCCTAACCTGACCCATTTACACGCCTACCCGTAACATATAAAATCCAGTTCTATCTTTTAGATTGGGATTTGAGCAACTTCAACCAAATGAGCTCACAAATTGCAATTCCCTTTGCTCAATACTCAACTTTTGGACTTGATTTGGCAACTTAGTTTGCATCTTGCATTCCATAAAATCAAGTTCCCCCGAAAAGTACACAGTAGCTTGAAAGGAGAGCTTGCCCTGTTTGCAACTTTTTAGCCAGAAATCTACATTTGCTCCTTATCCTTAAATAATAATCTTCTGCTCGGTGCCGTTTTATATATTGAAGTATCCTAATAACAGTATCCCAATGAAAGTCCCATGGGGAGTCAAGAAATTGGCTTACTACATGCACAATGAAGGAAATATCTGGTCAACGGCTCCCCATGTCCTAGTATAAGTTTGATGTTGGGATCCATAGGTTTATCAATGGACTTGCACCCTAGCATACCAGTTTCTTGTTTGGTAAAAAAAATCTTGGTTTTCAACTCATAAAAGGTCTTATTTCATGGATCAAGTCTTACTGAGGATGTCACAAATTTCATGAGCAATAGGCAAGAACATGCAATTATGACTAACCTCCGAGGTCATAGAATTCTGCCGTCAGATTATGATAAAGAAGCCTCCTGCATCCCACTCATCAAACTTTGGGTCTTTCTTTCAAGGGGTTGTCCTTTCAATGTGGTTTATTTTTCGTCGACCTTTGAGTGTAGTATGAATGACTTGGGTCCATCGCGGATAATTTTTTCCCATAAGGCAATAGGTAGGATGTTAGACCGGGTAGGTTATTGGGAATGAGTGGCAAGGTATTGAACACGATGGACTTGATGGTGGTAGAGTTGAGGGTTGTCTAATCAGATATGATGGCAGTGGGTGGGCTGTTTGGTTTGGTAGTGGGAATGGCAGTGGGTGTTCTGGTTGTCTAATCTGATTTTGCTGCAGCAATGAGCAAACCCACCACCCTTAACCCTGGAGGGGTGGGTTGGGGGAAATAAAAAAATCATCTGTGTTTACAAGTTAGAGTTTTCTTGCTATAGTCTGATATCAATGTGAATTGGTCTATTTGTTTACATTACTTGCCAAACCTATCTCTACAGATTCGACAATATGGGCGTCTAGAGGATGGTTCACTGAATGTGGTTACCTGCGGACAGCAGCGCTTTCGCCTAAGAAGGTGTTGGATTGATGTGGAAGGAGTGGTTAGAATATTATCATGCTTACTGCCTTTTTTTTTAGTTCAGTTTTTCTCTTCATAAGCATTGGCTATGTAAGTAATGATTGATGACTCTGTTTGTCTATCTCTTCCTGTTTCTTTGTCTGGTTGGGGTGGTTCTTCTTAGACTTGTGGAGAAATCCAAATTATTGAGGAAGACATACCATCGAGAACTCCAAGGGGTGCTTTTGGAAAATTAACACGGGTAAGTAATCTGCCCCGTAGCCATGCCACCTCAAGTGTGTTGCCTTCAAGGTATTCACCTGTTAAAGTACGTGGGTCTGAAAATGGGGAATATGATTCAGAAGAGAGCTTTGAGAGTGAACTTTCTCTAAAGGAAAGGAGAATCCACCAATCAATCATTTGTTCCAGTTATGAGCATGACTTGGATGAATCATCAAGCAGTGGTGATGATAAATTCGCGTACGAGTCAGATCAGGAAATTAGATCCAACCTAAAGGACTCTTACATCTTAAGATCATTGCTATCTGACCATGGAAAAGATGCTGAGAATCTGGATTCAAGAATTGGGAACTGTTCCACTTCTGGAAAACAGTTCTCCGTAGGGAAAGAGCTTAGTAGGTGTTATAAAAATATAGATGCCTACTCATCACATAGAATTTCAAGAGCATTCTGGCCCCATTGGGTATATCGTATGTTTGACTCCTATTGCCTTGCACAAAGGGCTGCAGGTAATTTTGCTTTGCATCTTCTACCTCTTTATTAACCATTTATTTAATGTTTAAAACTTTGGGTTTATATATTTATAATATCACTATTATTCCCTGAATAAAGCCTTACTTTTCTTTTCTGTGTGTGGTTGGTCAGTACGATTTTAAAATTCAAATATCGATCTGAATGGAGAATTCTTATGAAGAAGTCATGCATGTGTTAAAACTTCCAGAAACAATTTTTCTAAATCCACAAGTATAATTCTAACCAACCTACGCATTTGTCCGTATCTTGATGTTTGATTTTGGATATTTTTTATCCTCACATTGACTGAACATTACATATGGAAATTCACATTTATAGAGTATCTCCTTTGGGCTTATAGAGAATCTGTTGATCATAAGCCCTTGGCAATGTTGTTATCGATTTTTCTGGTCAACTAGAGGGCCTCATAATGTCGATGCATACTATGGGTGTAATCATCGGGTTGGGTTTAGGGGAAAAATTAGTGCAAACCAATAGAGTTAGTCGTCATGCTATGTCGTACTGTGTCTACTAATGGGGTCCAAATATTTTGTGACTTTTATTGATGATTTACTCTCATTCTACTTGGTTGTTTTCAATGGAAAATCAGTTTGAGCTGTTTCCTATCTTTCAACAGTTTTATAATGAAATCTCCACTCAGTTTGGTGTCCCTATCCACATACTATGGAGTGATAATGTGCATGATAATGTACTCATACCCCTTAACAAAATGGGGCTATTGTATTGAATGCATAAGCCGACACCTGATTGAAACAACTTGGACCCTCTTACTTCATGGGCATGTCCCTTTCCGATTTTGGGTTGATGTTGTTCTCAATGCTTGCTAATCTCATTAATCGGATGCCTTGCCTGTTCTTGATAACTGGGTACTTAATTCTGTGTGTTTTGTTGATAAATCTCAATTTTGGTCTTGTTAAGTTATCCACTTACTCTTAGTCCCAAAAGGGTTATCGGTCCAAGTCATCCATGTACCATTTTTGATATATTTTGTAATTGATTTTTTCTTTTTCAGGTGAAAACTTTGGTAATGAATTAAAAATGTCAAATAAAATTAATGTCTGAAATTGTCTCTTTTATTGTGAAACCGTCTAAAAATGCTAATCTCAGTAAAATCTAATAGTTTTGTTCTTAATCTGCAGATATGTGGAAACAAATTGTTGGGGTGCCAAGCATGGATGCTCTTGCTAAGAAGCCTGATGTTTTATCATTTTATATTGCCAGTAAAATACCTGTTTCTGTATCTACAAAGCAGGAGCTTTTGGATATTGATGGCATCTCACATAGGTTGCGCAGGGAAATTGAATTACTAGAGAACATTGCTCTTATTCGATGTAAAAGCTGCCAGGTAATCATTGTCTTACCAACGCCCCACAAATTTGCACATAATTTTTTATGGGTTTCAATATAGATAGAGACAATTTTGTAACTATATTTTCTTCTTCAACTTTCATCAAGTGCACAGATTAATGTTTATTTTTTCTTTTTTCAATATTTCTAATTTTGCAGACTACAATTGCAAAGCGAAGTGATATGTTGGTGATGTCTAGTGAGGGTCCTCTTGGTGCTTCTGTGAATCCAAGTGGTTATGTGCATGAGATAATGACTCTTTTCAAGACAAATGGATTAGCTCTTACTGGGCCAGCAGTTACAAAATACAGTTGGTTTCCTGGGTAAGTATTGTCCATTTTCATTTCCTGTGGATGTCTTGAACATACAAACAAACTTGTTGCTCTATATATAAATATGGCGTGTCAAGGATCTAACTCTAAATCATGCTTATTGATTGTCTGCTATGAGTTCCTTTGCCAAAGGCATCAGCCGGAATTGGTTCCCAAATAGGTTCCTATTGCAACTACCTGAGACATACTCAGGACCGGTGCTATTCTCTGCATGGTTTTCCAAAGAATTATGCTAATGCAACTTAGTCTCAAGCACAAAGTATTGAGAATAATGAGTACAAGGAGTATCTTCAACTCAGGGCTGCCCAACAAGGCCCATTTTCAGCCATTTTAGCCCATATGGGTGATTCTATAGTTTGTCAATTCCATTATGTTGGTCTTTGATTTTTGATTCTAGTGCTTCCAATGAAATAGCTAGTCGTTCTTCCCTTTTCTGAAAATTATCATCTCCCAACCCAAGACACCACATCACCATCATCGGTGACTCTAAGGGTATTGGTCAAGCTATGTCTCTGAATTCCGTTCTTTTTATACCTAGTTGTCCCTTCAAGTTAATATCTGTTAGTAAACCTGCACTCTTAACTGCTCTATAACCTTTACTGCTGAATCTGGAGGATGAAATCTATAAGAAGCAACCACCTGTACTTTTGTTGCTCCTGGAGAGTTGAGGCAGACTTTTTTGTGTTTATTAAACATTTACCCTCTCGTCACTGCATTTATCTTGTGGGCCGTGTATATGACATTGTTATTATTGGTTGTTGAGTATTTGGGTAGAATGAAATGTCAGATTCTTTCAGCGAACATTTGTAGCCATAGAACTTATATGGGCTAGGGTTCTTTTCTAAACTTCTTTATAGAATGCTGTTCATCATTTCTTTTGAATGGTTGATATGTTACTATGTAAGGGGACGAACCGGAGCAGTGGTAAAAATGTTCCTTCATGACTGAAAGGTCATGGGTTCGAATCCAAGAAACAGCCTCTTTGCAATTATGCAAGGGTAAGGCTACGTACAAGGATTTCCTCCACTCCACACTCGCTAGTCGGGTTTAACGGTTAGTGGTTTGGTTGATATGTTACTATGTGTAGGGTTCACCATGAATCCAAGTCTGTTGTAACACAAGTCATTAAAAAATGTTTTAGGATATTTACTTGGCAGCAGCAATATCGTATAAACCTACAACATGTCTCTACCATTTCATTTTATGGATTTTCTTGCCTCACTATTTTGTGATTATAAATTTACACTTATGAATATAAATGCCGGCCTGTACCTTCTCCCTTGCCTTATTGTGTCAATGGCCCTTTTTTCCAATGACATTTCTTTCTTTAAGTGAACTTTTAGTTCCCAAGAACTGTTTAACCTCTTTGCTAGCCTGTGATAAGAGTGCAAAAAGATGAAGAAAATTATTAAGTCTGGGCAATAATGTATACCACGATATAGATAATGAATTGTGATTAACACTGAATATTCTCCCCTATCTTCTTGAGCAAAGGCTGCATTATGTATAACTTTCAAAAAAAAAAAAAAAAAAAAATTAGGGGGGGTGGGGGGTGTTGTTTCATAAGAAGCTAATATGCCAGTCAATCTGCAACTTTTGGCAGGTACCAAAGGACAATCGCTAACTGTGCCACATGTGAAACCCAAATGGGGTGGTTTTTTACAGCCAAGAACGAAAAACTGAAACCCAGGTCATTTTGGGGGATACGTAATTGTCGAGTTGCAGAAGAAATGCGCTAAGACCTTCATGGGTAGTAGCCACCTAGTTATGAGTTTGATCTGTATACAATCACCCATCTTCAGCTTTATGTGGAAATCCATATTCATGTTGTACGGTCAATGATGATATATGTATTGCTTGCCTTTCACAGAACTTGCAAAAACTTAAAAATACTTAAGGTAATCTAAGATGCAACATTTTTTGTAACTCCTGTAGTTATGGTGTTTTCACATTTTAGATTATGGATTATATCCCGCTAGATCTGTAACAAGTTTATTTTGCATTAATTTAACTCTTTGTTTCTTAAAAACGTCAGAGGTGTTGCTTTAGTTTTATGTTTTCACTTTCTGTTTATTCTGTTTAACTCCATCATCCTGGCATCCTATGTGTTGCCATGGACTTTACTTCGGTTAGAGAATAATATATAAAAAGGTCTTCATTCAATACGTTAAAATTTTATGTTGAAATGGTTATTTACAAGGTATCAAAGCTTCAGTGAGTATAAGGTCATAAGTTCGATTCTTACCACCTTTCACTTTCTAGTGGAATTAAAATAAATACAAGGTAAATAAAAAATTGGATCTATACAATATCCATGCTTCAACTCCAAAGAGCTCTTGCATGAGCGGGTATGTTAGATAATAATATAAATTATTAAAAAAATTCTTATCCAATTCCTTAAAATTTGGAGTTGAATTATTTCTTTACAACATTGATTCAATTTGGCCCTTTTAACTTGGTTAGAGCTGGGTTAGCTCGTTAAAGGTAAAAATTTTGGGGGGAAATATGTAATTTTCTTACTCCTGATGAGAGAGGTGGGTGGTGTAGAATGTGATGAAAATCTGATTTGGACAATGGTGGCCAAGTTTAGCGTTTCATGCAAGCAAGGTCAGTTGTTGAGTAGATGCATTTTAATGGATATATTGGGTGATAAATTAAGCATCCAAGAAGTAAAGAAGTAAATAGGATTTAGTAAATCTAGACCATTAAAACCAATATACAAATGGAAGGATTATGTTGGATTTGTATGTATTGGTTTAGATTGGATGGAAAATGAGTTCAATTCAAGTTGCGTACGAGTTATTGACAAATCCCGGGAACAAAGCAGGCTTGTCCACGTCGTCATACGTTAAACTGTTAAAGGAAAATAAAATAAAAATTATTTATGGAATAAAATAAAACAATTGTAATTACGCTTTTCTTTGTCTGCACTCTGCAACTGAAAGCACCTTATCAAAGCAGGTTAAGAAGCGTGTTAAGAAATTGGAATGTACGCATCCTTTGGACCCAAGGACCAACATCAAGCACTAGATCCACGCTCTATCTGGCCGATCCAATCTTAAAATTATGAATATTTTAAATTAAATTATATAATAATTAATCATAATATTAAAATTAAAACATTATTTTATATAAACTAAAAAATATTTTTAAAATAAGTGCTAAACTTTTGAAGATCAATCGATATAATTGTCAATAGCTGACCTAAGTTTGACATGTATTTAGATGATGATCAGAACATGTTTTTACAACTGGGTCGATCATGTGATCTTTCTCTACACAAATGACCTGGAATCGTCTTGGGTCAGAGCATCTTGCAGTTGAGCAGCTTTAACCCACGGGTCTTCAATGGAAAAAGATAGGGGTGTACTTGCAAGACACTCTGACGCTCAAGTCAGTTATGGTTCAAGCAGGTTTTATTATGTAGAAAAAGATATGTACCTTAGTGTGGATCCATATGTATTTATAGTAGAGAAATGAGCAACTTGGAAGATGCCTTTCTTCATGGTGAAGGCAAAGGTTCCTCTTTATTGGTTCTTGTGAGAGGCTTGGAGATAATGTTTGCAGAAGTATGTAGAGGGTGTAGCTTGCTGTCATATAGCCATTAACATTGAGGAGCTTGCTGGCTGTCATGAGCTTTTGATATTGTGGAGCTTGCAGCCTTCATTGACTGAGGCTTTGCTTCATTGTGAAGGTTTTTGATTTGGGCCTTGTATTTTAATAATAGATAATATATATCCAGATCAGAAGCCCCCAGCTCGCTGCTTATGCTGAGAGCATGAGTAGTGAGATGTATAAATTGGCGAGATGACATATCGGTTTATCAACTTGGAAAATTCATTGCGCTTGTTCCTTTATCTGGAACTATGGTCTATACTTTGTATGGGTGCTTGAGAGTTTCATAATTGTATTCTGCATTTTTATACAATTCATAATTCATAATTTATATATTTGGCGTACCTTTCTATTTTGCATGTTCTGTGGTTCGATGTCGCTTAGTTTGTACTTGATGTTGCCAGAAGTATCGCGCTTTGGAGGAAGTTTTAACCAGTTAAGGTTTTACCTTCCTTTGTTCTTGATTGCGCGTTGGAGGAAGTTTTAACCAGTTAAGGCTTTATCTTCATATTCTTTATCGCTCTGTAGCTGGGAGGAAGTTTTATTATCTTCCTCGCATATTCTTCATCGCGCTGTAGCTTGGAGGAAGTTTTATTATCTTCCTTTTATTTGGAGGGTCCTTTTGGAGGATCCTTTTATTTGGAGGATCCTTTTATTTGAAGGGTCCTTTTGGAGGATCCTTTTATTTGAAGGATCCTTTCATTTGGAGGAAGTTTTATTATCTTCCTTTCATTCTTCATCGCGCTTTATTTTGGAGGACTTTTCTTTTGTTTGGTGAAACCTGTAATTTTCACAAATCTCACAGAATAATGTCATATCATTAAGATGATAAGTTCAATGAAATTGAATCAGTTCAAAGCAATTCATAATAATTTTGCATATATCAACTGTAAAATTTTCCGAGTTTATCTGTGTTTCATGCGAGATTTATGTCTTCGTCGTTTATCATTCATGGATCCCTGCAACTTTCATGAGTTTCATAACAGAGACATAAGATTGTCAAAATAAGTCATATATGTCACGATTTTTATCGCATGAGCATCCTGCAAGTTTATGTAATCTCGTAAGAAGTATGATCACAATAGTGATTAAATCACATAAAGATTCCATATATGATAGCCTGACAGGCCTTATTTTATGTTTGTCATAATTCACCCTTATTTAGGTGATATATAAAGATGATTCGTAAGCTTAGGATGTGTTCGGACTAGACTTTGTCAATTCCAACATATTAACTCCACATATATCAAACTGATGCCTTTAATGATAAGCCCTCTTTTTCGCGAAGCCTCTTTTTTGTGCGACATTCACTGATATTCTGGTGTTTCCAGAGTGTGAAAATCAATTATACAGAGACTTTAAAATCAATGTCAATTTTTTAAAAATTGGTCTAAGGGAGTTCATAATCATTCACTTTTTCAATCCAACTTTGAGGTTGATCTTCAATGGGATAGCTAATTTCTATAGCTTTTCTAACACCCCTGTGAAATCATATCTCACTTGTATCAAAATTTCAAACTTGCTAGGTACTTTGGATCTTCCATTTAGGGTACCTTTAAAACTTTTGCGGGATCACCCAAAATAAAAATTCTGAAACACTTCAATAAATGATTCTACTAATACTTTTTGTCCGAGATGGGAAAGACAGGTCCATATATGGAATATATTCCTTATCCTCAACGTTTCACAATCTCACTTAGTAACTTTAACCTTTTTGGCATTTCAAATCAATTTCATGTGCTCCTATTTCTACGTCTATCTCTCGTGCCAATTGTGCAGCTTGGATATTATAATTCGGATCACGACGTATCTTTGCGGGATGGGTATTCTAATAACTATATCAAATAAATATTAGCATCTAATGTCGTAATATTTCAGGATGGTTATAAATGGCGGGATGGATATTATAATCAATCAGTAGCGAATGCAGAAATTTTAATGACGGGAGGCGAAAATAAAAAATATTATATTATAAACAAAAATATTTGAAATATAATACAGACCTAATATAAAAAATTTAAAAGAAATCTATTACAAAGATTAAGATCATTTCATTTGACTCTTATTTTACATATTTTCTTATTGTTAAACTCATATATAATTGAATCCGTGTTAAAACTCAAAACAATTTCTTTTTTAATGTATGTAATCAAAGAATCATCAAGAAATTGGTCTTCTATTTTATTTCGAAGCTTGTTCTTGATTTTATTTTACGCATGCGGATCTTAACTTTTTTCTTTCTTTTTAAATGTCAGAATCCACATGTATAAATATGTTTGCTACAAAAAATTTCATATGCTATTGCTGCAGAAGAGACGAATCCAAAAATAAATCATGTTATCTATTATCAATAAATTAGATACCCACAAAGTTATATATGTCCTTTCATTCTTTTTATAGCTAAAATTGTTGGAAATTTAAAGATATTAAGAATAATTTAGGAGAACACACTACAATTTTTTAATCTCACAATCACGTGTTTGGTAGGAGGTGAAAAAACATTTTCCTAAGAAAATGGGGTTGGAAAATTATTTGCCTATATTTGGTAGGAGGTGAAGTAAAAATATGATTAGGAACATTTTTTTTCCATCATTTGATTTTCTATGTAAAATAGTTGGGGAAGATTACTATTGAAGGGGTGAAATTGTTTTTTTTTCATGTGGTGGGAAAATTAACACACAACATCATTAAAATTAACTCAACATTTCAGAAAAAAAATTTGGCCTACCAAACACATTTTAGTAACTTACCCAGAAAAAAAATTCCATCATATTCCCAATTTTCTTCTTTAACAAACGCCTCCTTTAAGTGCTACGACACTCTCTTTCTCTGTTTTCACTATTTTTTGTTTTCTTTTTGCACACTCTTGTTTTTTGTTTTTTGAAACACATAACCTATATATTGGGAAATGAACAACCGAATCAAGCCCCCCACTTTTTAATATTTTAATCCTAGAAATATTTAACTTCTCTTTGTCTTCTTCATAACCAAAATCTCCCTTGACTTTTCAAACTAGTACAATTAGGAGAAGCTGAATGAAAAATGAAAATGCAAAAGTTGAATCATTTTCTTAAATTTTACCCCAAAAGAAGATAAAAGAGGCTGAGGCGGGTTATTAACTATCACTGAAGAGTGAAGAGGTACTTGAAGAGTGTTTCAAGATTGAGTCTCACGCCCCCTTCAATGAAAATGTTTGCGCTTCCTCTTCAGTTGTCTTATCTTGCAATTGCAAGCTGAACAATTTTCAGAAGTTTGATTTGAGCAGTTGAGGTTTTGTGCTTCTGCATGCTCACGCATGTCAGTAATTTACCCATTCACACATATTTTGCAATATTAATAAAATACCATATATATA